TTTGACAGTTTAGTTCAAAATACTTGGAAACTTCTTTGTGTCAGTTTAGATGCAAAACAAATCATGGAAGATTGCATACTGTGTGGTACTGAAAAGCAATGTTGATTTTTTTCCCCCCTCCAAGTCTCTTGAACAACATAGACTGAAATTTAAAACGTGGAAGTTTAGATTGGGTGAACAGACCTTCTTCATCTTCAGCTGGAGTCTGATTCTTTAGACATTGCAGCTCATTAATTCTGCTCCTGTTGCTCTAACTTCGCACGAGCAGGTTGAGTTTATCCTACACTGCATCGTTCTGAGCATGGCTGGAATATTCAAACTTTTAATGTGTAGTATTTTATAGAACAAAATTAATGGAAAGCATTTGGCTAAATCTAAAGAACTGCAGTCAAATTCTTCAATGTGGTTTACCCAACTGGAGTAGATACATACCTTAAATCATAAAGTGAATAAATCATTTTAAACCCCCCCCCCCAAAAAAAATAAGATATGGTTAAGAAAATTAAGTTTCAGAGAAAGGAGAAGAGGATCCTAAGGCAGTTAAGAATGATTATCTTGATGATCTTTCCCTACTGTACTGTGTTGTTAGATTGTAAGTTCAAAATGTCCCAAACAATTGGGACACTTGCCAATGTGTTTCTGGGTAATGAATAGATTCTGGCTTCCTAGTTCCATCAAGAGGCCCAAAATAACATATCCTCCCGTTCCCATCACTTCCTAACTGCTTGGCCAGTCTGGAGCAAAACGTGGTGGTCATGAAGCCAAACCTGGAGCCATCCCCACCAACCCCCCAGAAGGAAGGCTGAGCCTCCCGCTAGTGCAGGCTCCCTCACTGGAGAGTCTGGTTCTGGTTGGAGATGTGTGGGCCAAGGAGAGACATCAGTGGGCCCTTGGGGGACAGTGTGAGGACCATCTTAGATAGCTTAGAGGAAGAACCATGACCCCCATTCTACTCTCTTATCCCTCTTCCAGCCTGTTGTTTCCCTGGCCAGATGCATCATCTTACCTGTAGAGAGGGGGTTTCTCCTCCACCACCAGGTAGCCCTCACAGGATGCCCCCAGGTCTACCGTATGTGCTCTCTTGCTCCTCCCGGTGGTTTTCTAGGGAAAGATGAAGTTAAAAAAAAAAAAAAAACATTGAAGTGACTCCTTATTTCATTCAATCATTCATTTGTTCAATTTTTTATGCTTCCATATACCTATTATTTTTTGGGGGTGGGATACCAGGGATTGAACTCAGGGGCACTCAACCATGGAACCACATCCCCAACCCTATTTTGTATTTTATTTAGAGACATGTCTCACGGAGTTGCTTAGCGCCTCACCATTGCTGAGGCTGGTTTGAACTCTCGACCTTCCTGCCTCAGCCTCCCCAGCCGCTGGGATTACAGGCATGTGCCACTGCACCCAGCTATGTCCACTATTTTTGAGGTCCTTCTCTATCTTTGGATCTGTGATCCATCCTAGGAATAGAACAATAAACCAGGCAGGGCACCTTCCCTTATAGAAGGTTCACTTTTATAGGGGAGACAGACAAGTGATTTTCTGAGTTAATACAAAGTGAAAAGTGTCTGAATGCAGGGGGTAGAGGGGGTACAGGAGCACAGAGGAGGGACATATATTTACACTTGACAGATCCTAAGAAAGGACAGACTCAGTGAGTGTCAGGACAAGGTTAATCTGTACAGAAGTTAGTGGACAAGACAGAGCATGGTGTTCCCCCAGAGCCAAGCAGGGGAGGGTGATGAGAGGAGCCAGGGGACATGTGGTGCGGGGCCTCTGCGCCTATCAAGGAAGTTGGCGTTAACTTTCAGGCAGCCTTAGCTATTGAGAGGTGGATGAGGGAAGAGGAGTGTTTAATTTGCACTTTAGAAAAAACAGTTCTGGTCATGGGTAGAGAAGGGGTCCAGATCAAGGGCAGAAGCAGGAAGACCACTTAGGAAGCTCTTGCAGAAACTCTGGCATGAAATGATGATGCTCAAAACCAAAGAGATAGCAGTGTGAAGGGAGGCTCTTGGAGGGAGCCCACAGATACACAGAGCTTGGGAGCTGGAAGTGGGCTCAGCTCCCAGGAAAGAAACTGTGACTCAGAGTCCTTCAGCCTGTCCCACAGCCGGGCACAGGAAGGCATCTCATCCTGTTTCAGTGATCAGTGACCCGCTTCCTCTTCCGGGTCTCCAGAAGGATGCCCCCTGACCCCCCCCCCCCCAGCTCTTTCCCTGCCCTGTCCTCTACCTCCTCCAACAGGATGGTTAGGTGGGTGTATACAGTTGACAGTCCATGTCAAGTTGATGCAAATAAAAGAGGAGCAGGAGAACTAGGTGTCCATTTAATGGGCAAGGAAGCTGAAGGAGTTCTGGAGATGCCCGATCCTGCCTTCCGCTTGAACTTGAGCCCGTGGTAGAACAGCAAGCTGGGTCAATGTTTAAGACACACATCAGAGCCTCAGGCAGTCTCAGTTGCAGACCCTTCTCGTGCTTCTCTCAGGAGGAGAGAAAGGATGGTTAGTGTCTTAAGGATCTTCAACGGCTCCTAGGACAGTGGTTTTTTTAATCCTTACCCCTTAAGCTCTGCTGTGACTTCTTGTGCTTGTGAATGTAAACTCTGAGCTCTGGTAAATGTCGCTTATTCTACTCATCACACAAAGCCTGTTTCTGGGTCACTGTCTCATTACCTTTAAAGGTACAATATTAAAGGACCACCACACCTTAGCTGCACAAAATATCCACAGAAATCGCTCATTGAAAACACATTATCAAGCCAGGCACAGTGGCACACCGCTGTAATACCAGGGGCTCAGGAGGATGAGGCAGGAGGAAAGGCCAGCCTCAGCAACTTAGTAAGACCCTGACTCTAAATAAAATATAAAAAGAGCATGGGATGTGGCTCAGTGGTTAAGCACCCCTGGTACCAAAAAATAAATAAATAAAATAAACAACACATTCTTTACTGGGGAATGATGTTAGCCAAAATATATTGTTATATCATGCATCTGTATGACTATGTAACAACAAATCCCACCATTACGTACAACTACAATGTACCAGTAAAATATGGAAAAAAGTTTTAAAACAAACATATTTTCACAAACTTCCTTAATAAGACTCCTACAGCTCAAGAAATAAAGCTGAGAATCAATAAATGAGATCGCATCAAATTAAAAACTTCTGCACAGCAAAGGAAACAATTAAGGGTGTGAAAAGAGAGCCTCCAGAATAGGAGGTCTTTGCCAACTACTCTTCTGACAAGGAATTAATATCAAATGGCCAAAAAAATATGAAAAAAAATGTTCAATATCCTTAGTAATCAAGGTAGTTTTGCCAATTAAAAAGACTTCATCTCACTCCGGTTAGAGTGGCAATCAACAGGAATATAGATAAGAGTAATTGCCTGCGAGGATGTGGGGGGAAAGGGACATTTATACATTGTTGGTGAGCCTGCGAATTGAAGAAACCGCTTTGGAAGGCACTGTTGCACTCCTTGGTATTTATCCAAAAGAATGAAAATCAGAGTACTGTAGTGATATACACCAGTGTTTATAGCAGTGCAATTCATAATAACAAAGTTATGGAACCAGCCGAGGTGCCTGTCAGCAGACGAATGGATAAAGAAAATACAGTATATCCACACAATGGAATTTTACTCAACCATAAAGAAAAATGAGATTATGTCATTTGCTGGTAAATGGATAGAACTGGAGAACACCAGGCTAAGTAAAATGAGCCAGATTTAGAAAGTCAAGGGTCAAATGTTTTCCCTCATATGTGAAAGCTAGCAAGAGAGAAAAAGCAGTAAAAAGGAATTAAAAAGGGGGGGGGGTCTCAAAAAAATAGAAGGCAGATCACTTGAAAGGAGGAGAATCCAAGGGAGGCAGAGGGGAGGACATAAGGAAGTACCGGAGAATGAAATATACCAAATTATGCTATGTCTGGGTACAAATAAATCACAATGAAGCCTGCACATGTAATTATAGTGCACTAATTAAAATAATAATAATAATAGAGTAGAGCAAGTGGATTGGGAGAAGAGGAAGGGAAGAAACTAGGGAAGGAGACTGATCAAATTATGTGTCTAGGCTGGGCACGGTGGTGCACACCTGTAATCCCAGCGGCTTGGGAGGCTGAGGTAAGAGAATTGAGAGTTCAAAGCCAGCCTCAGCAAATTAATGAGGCCCCCTAAGTAGCTTTGCAAGACCCTGTCTCTATAAAATATAAAAAAGGGCTGGGGATATGGATCAGGGGTTAAGCGCCCCTGTGTGTAATCCTGGGCACAAAAAATATATATATATATGTGCCTATACGAATATGGCATAATGAATCCCACTATTTTGTATAATTACAATGGAACAGTAAATTGTTTTAAAAACTAAAACAGAAGGTGCACAGAAAAGCAAAACACATCCTTTGGACAACCAGGTTTTCACCTATCTAACCTGCAATCCCTGGTGCTGCCAGTGTCACCCTGCCTCCTCACTGGGGTCAGAGGTCATCACTGTGATCTTGTCTCTGTGCCTTACTCTAAACACAGTCCCAGACACCCTGAGCACACGATGCAGGGAGGCCGTGAGATTGGTGTGTTTCCGGTGCCTGGCATCTTCTGGATGCTGGACCCGTGGACCTGGTTTGTTTCCATAATTGATCTCTGCAGTTGTGCATTGAAGTTGTGGAAGTTGTGCATTGATCCTTCCACAACAGTGATTCTCAGTTGGGGGTAGCTCTGCCTTCCCAGGACAGTTGCAGTATCTGCAGACATTTTTGCCTGGTGGCAGAGGTGGGCTCTCCTGGCATCCATCAAGCGGAGCCCAGGGATGCTGCTCAACATTCTACAGTGCCCAGGACACTTCCCTTCACCAAGAATTGTTGGATTCCAAATGCCTGCTCTAGGACCCCCTGCTCTATGACCAAGGGGACCCTCAAATCCTTCAAGGGTCTGTAGGATCACTGCAGCAAACCACAACTTCAGGAAAAACTTACTTGCTCTTTTTTTTTTTTTTCCCACAGCTGAGCTCTGCCTGGGAGGCCCACTTAGAGCCACTCAAGGCACCAAGACCCCAAGGGCTGGGGAGCAGGGAGCGGGGCCTGGTGCTGAGGATGGCCAGGCAGCAGCCGCCGCCCTGGGTCCACGCAGCCTTCCTCCTCTTCTTCCTCAGTCTGGGCGGAGCCATCGAGATTCCTATGGACCGTGAGTTCTGCTCCAGCCTCTTGTTATTTGTTTCCTCCTGGTTTGGGGAAGAGGAGAGAGAGGGAAGGGAAGGTCAGGGAGAGTTAAGTCCTGTGGGATTCAAAGCAGATTTTCTCTTCTAAGAATCGACTGGGGCTCTTGCTCGGTGGTCTAGGCTGGTCTCAGGGCTGTGGCTGGGTGGATGCTTGGGCAGCCCCAAGCCTGCTGAGTGGAACCCAAGCGGGTAGAGTTTGGAATTCCCACAGCCACATGGAATTCTTCCCTCTGCTCACCTCCGTGGCCCTCTGTGGTAGTGACTTGCCTTAAAAGCCATTTCCAAGGTCAAGTGTAGTGGGCGGCTCTTTCTTACCTTTCTAACCACCTTACATCCACAGCAGAACCCTCAGGCCCTCTTGGCTGGAGTGGTCGGGAGGACAGATGCCCTGGGGACCAGTTGGGAGGGGAATTATCTTTGTAAAAGGCCTGGCTAAAGAAGACATTCAAATAAAGCCACATGATAATGCTACCTTGGGAGGGCCAGGCAGGGATTCCTTCTGTTTCCAACCTTGCCGAAGTAATGTTGCAAAGTAAAATCGGTATGGTTCTGCTTCTCATGGTGGGGGTGCTCTCTGCCCATCAAAACCATAAAGTAAGGGGCTTTAAATGCTGACCCCACAGCTATGTCTCCACCTACCTATTACTGTGCTCGTAGATGGCCTATGATTGACAGCCATGCTTGCCACAGTTCTGTCACTTTTGCTGGGATGCCGTAGCAACACAGTGCTAAGGTGTGGGCAGACTACTTCAGACCCCTGTTCCCTGCCTCAGGGAATACATGGGACCTACATGATGTCAACACTGACTTTCTCTCCAGTGGACAGACACCTGGGGAATGGTTAGGAGAGTAACATAGCCCCTCAATGTCCCCAAGTAGACCCTCATCCAACTCCACACCACCATTAACAGCTGCCCCAGAGGAGTGGCACCTCTGGAAGACAAAGACCAGTGGGAACTGTTAAGTTGGATCTAGAAGCAAGATGGGCAAGGCCCCCACTGCCCTGTGTGTGCATGTGTGTGCATACACATAGGGAGGGAGGAGAGGAGATAGAAAGGACCAGTTCCCATGGCGACCGCCTGCAGCTGGCTCCAGGAGCATTTCTCATTAACGGTCCCAGGCGGACATCTAATAAGGAGCGTGATAAGGCCACGTCCCTGGAGAAGAGAGGGGTGCAGAGGAAACTGGGTCATCAAGAAGGTGGTGAAGGCTCATTTCTCTCCTGCCACTTGTCCTCACTCACACGCCTGCCACTCCAGGCTTCAGGGGCCAGAGGAGGAGGGGTTCCCTCAAGGTGAACCCACAAATAGATGGCTTTGATGTCTGTGCTCAGGATCTAGATTTCTAAGCTCTACTGCAGACAGAGACATGGCGAGCCAGTCAATCTCTCTAAAGTCCTGCCTGTGGCGGAGAGTGGAGAATGCCCCGACCTCTCTGCCACCCCCCACCCCAGCGTCCCTGAGGAGGCCAGGAGGAAGCGCCCCTGCCATGGTGCGTTCATGGAAACTCAGGTCCTTCCTTGCCCGGGGTTAAAGGGCAAATTGGTGGTGGAACCAGGAAAGGGCCTCTGTTCTCTTGACCTCCAGTTTGGCACTTGATATGCCCCACCCCTACCTCATAATCCTGCCTTGTCTTGGTCCTTCTTGAAATTCTCTGGAATCAGCTGTCCTTTGCCGGGCAGAGAGCTAAGTGCTGCACACATCTTACCACATGTGATTCCCACAGCTCATCCAGGAAGCAGGTATAACCTTAGCTTACAGGTTAGAACACAGGCAAGGGGCAGAGCCAGGCTACCGTGGCAGCACCTCTTCATGGAGAGGTGAGTCCTCGGGTGGCCCAGCCTGCTGGGAGCGCGCCCCCTGCAGGTGCCTACGTGGCCACCGCAGCATCTCCAATGAGTCTACAGCAGCTGAACACAGTCAGCAGCCAGGCAAGCCCTTCCAAGAGGACCTGTGTATCCAAGAAGAGGGCTCAGTGGGTTTCTCCCTGGGTTTCTCACTCTCCCCATTGCCGAGTGGGAGGTACTGAGGAGCCAGGGGTGACCTACTCAGGTGAGTGCCACTCATGTGCACCTTGGGGACGTTCTCTGTGCCCTGAGACCAGGGGCACCACTTCTGCTCTGGGAGTTCGGGTGCTCTAGGCTTCCTGGATGAGAGCCCTGGACTGCCGCACAATCCCTCATTCAGGCGCCCAGCCTCCGGCGCCCACTGCCTTGCCAATGAAGTCACACGCACCTCCCTCCTACTGCCACCTCCCTACCCCCAGCTCCAAGGAGAACAGTGTGACCTTTGAAAAAAGTGAAGGGTCGCCTCATCAGCCAGGGTGGGTTTGCCAAAAAAGTGAGTCTGCTAAAAGTCCTCCTCCCCACAGCAAGGGGACTCCACATGTCCTCCTCGGAACCCACAGAGGGAGGTGGAGTGGGAAAGACACTCCTCCCCACAGTGCTCAAGGGCAGCCTCAGCAGCACGCTCTGTCCCCTGAGAGGTGGGTGCCAGAGGCCTAGCTAGCAGAGCCAGGGAAGGGAAAGAGGCATATGAAGAGAGAAGCCCAGCCCCGGCCGGCATCTGCCTCCCCACGGGGCAGGGCCGGAAGGGGTCTTTCTCCCCACTGAAGCCAAAAGAGCGAATTCATTCTCCACTTGACATCATCAGGCAGCAAGTTCCACAGAAGGAGAGAAGGGCAGGTGGGGTGATCCTGGATAAATGCTTGGTCGTCCTTGTCCCTAAACAGGCTGTCCCCACTGTCTCCTCCCAGTGGCAGCTTGTCTTCTGGGTTGACTCTGTCCCTGTTAATAAATTCCTTGGGAACACAGTGGTGACTGCAAATGTCACTGTCCTTTTCAGCAAGTAGATTCTCAAGAGGCCCCTGGCCAGATAGGCAGCAGCCAGCCAGCCCTCGCTGCCCTGGGAGTCTCCACTCGCCAAGGTTCCCCCACTTACCCTTGTCCAAAATGTCTAGGAGAACAGAGTGCCAAGGCCCCCACCTGGCTATACTTCTCCAGCCAAGGAGGGGCTTGTACAGAGAGCTCTGGCCAGGACCGGGAGAGCTGTGCCCATTCTCCTCTGCAGCAGAACCTTCCCTGGATAGGAGCGTCCCTGAGCAATATCTAGAGCTATTTCCACTGAACCAGCTTCAGTTCTATAAAGAGAGGCTTGGCGCTCTGTGGGCAGGAAGGACCTTCATTAGGCTTTCCACTGGGGTGAGGCCCGAGCCCACGGTGGCCTGTGAGGACCCAAGAGACCCCAACTGTGTCTTGAAAGGAAGAAACCAGAGCCCAGGCTGGTGGCCAAAAGGGTGGGCTCCAGTGTCAGCCCTGTACTGAGAATGGATCCTCCCCTTCCTCATCCCTTCCCATGCCAACCCCACTAGCCTTCATTCTTTCCAGAACGACCTTTCTCATGCCCAGGGCAAGAAAGTTATGTACAGGTCAAGAGGCTGCAGTGGGGGGCTCCCTAGAGCATGGGTTCAGGACCTGGAACCCTAACCCTCCTCTTTCTTGACCCCTCTACTTCCCTGTCATCTCTGCTTCTGTGACTCTTCCGGCATCTCTCTGTCCTAGCTTAACTCTGGCTCCCCCTGCATAGTGTCCTCTCTGAGCCCCTGGGGTTCCCGTCCATGTCTCACTCTCTACCAAGGTGGGAAGGCATGAAGGTCACATGTGCACTGATGCCCACAGCTTCCTGCTCCCCCAGGAGGCACTTGCTCTGAAAGTCAGCACGCAGCACCCGTACAGTATGTGACATGTCCCACCATGAGATGAGAAAGCCATGCTGCTTTCTGATGTCATCGTAAGGAAGGACATTTTGAAAAGTGACAGTAACACATGTTCACTTTTCTGCAGACACAGTTTAACTAAGAGTGTCTCCCCACAAAGAACACACCATCTAAAGCCTTGTTATCCAAAGCATGATCCGCACACCACCAGTCTCAGTGTCACCTAGGCAATGGGTCAGAAATGCAGAATCTACACTGCAGGTTTGGCTCAGTGGTAGAGCTCTCACCTAGCATGCACGAGGCCCTGGGTTGCATCCCCAGAATGTCAAAAAAAAAGAAAAAGAAGGAGGAGGAGGAGGAGGAGAAGGAGGAGGAGGAGGAGGAGAAAAAAGAGAAAGAGATGAAGGATTCAGGTCCTACCCCAGACCAACCCAATCAGACCTGCATTTTAACCAGCTCCCAGCAGATTCATATATGTATTAAAGTTTAAGGAGCTGGACCTCAAATACATGTATACACACCTGTGTGGGAGACACCTGTGCAGGAGCATGAGCACTTGTGCCACTGACCCTTTACCCTCTTTATGAAAAACACAGAAAGAAGCACAGGCTCTGCCCCTTGCCTGGAACCTCTCATTCAGTAGCAGGGTTTCACCGGGCCATGTATACCTGCCAGGAATAGGGCAACAATTATCCACCTGTCCCTATGTTTTCCAAAGGATGGGAAAGGAGGAGACAGTGAGCAGAGAGAACGTGCTTTTGTGTGTGGAAGAGAAGAAGGTCCAGGGGGAGCAGCGGGGCCTTGGGCCTTCCATACCCGGGACTTTGCCCTGTGGCGGTCATTCAGATCCATCCCTCTCCTGGCACCTCTGTCCTGCCTTCAGCCTCCCCTTGGCACTATCGATCAAGGAATCCACTTCTCTCAATGCCAGAAAGCATCTTCAGAGCCTCTTTCAAGCAGCGTTGTCACTCCTGGATATTGGGACTTCTCTGGCGACTTCTCCTTTGGTCAGGAGCAGGTCTTTCTGCTCCACTCCGTGGTTCTGGTCCCCCAGGGAAGACACCGCCCTCTCTACAAAGCTTCCCTGGGTCTGTTCCCCACTCTGCTTGGCTCCTCCAGCTAAGCTCTGTAGCTGGGAGGAGAGAACCTCGTAGCACAATGCTGTCCCCAAGTCCACATCACCTGTCTCCCTGAATGCTGGACAGTTTGTCATGTGTGATAACAATGTTCTTCTTTTCTCCCCCTCACAATGCTAACCCACCGGAACTAACAGCAAGCATTCAGAATGAGCGTAAGTCCCTGTGTGTCCCTTGGCCCTTGTGCCTCTGGGAGGTCGGAGGGGCGGGAGAAGACCAGGTCAGGAGACACCTGGGGTCACAGGCCTCTCCACTGGTCCTGCCAGGACTTCTGAAACCAGAGTCCTGTAGGGAGGTGCCTTACCACACAGCAGGGAAGAGCTTACCTGGAGCGTCCTTTGCCAGGTAATGCAGAGGAACAGGTAGTCAGAAGAGGGTCCCTAGATGGAAGTTGAGCTGCTCCTGCAGACTGCAATGGCTGTTATGGGACCCAGGGTAGAAAACTGACCTAGAGTGGAGGATCTGGCTCATGAGCACCCAGACAAGTCCCCGGGAAGCTCTCTGGGACTAAATTCTTCTCACCATGGTTTGGCCATTAGTTGAGCTTCAGGGCTCAGCTGCAGTAACTCCTGAATTCTAACAAAGTAGCTGCTTTTGTTCCTGTATTCATTCAACACATTTATCAAGACGCGTTGTTCTTTGCACTAACCAAAACCGGGTTTTCAACTTTTGATGGGAAACAATGGAATCTTTTTGAAAGGATTCCTATGTTTAGCCTTTGACATCACCTCCTTTCCTGTAGAATTGGGGTCTCTAGAATAGGGTCCTTTCCACATCTGCTTGCCTGTTTGCCCCATGGCTCCTGAAGCCATTCCCCAAGCCAGGACCCAGGTAGGTCCTTGCAGCTCTGACTACCCACTGTGTGCCCTGTTGCAGTGACCCAGCCCCCAACCATCACCAAGCAGTCAGTGAAAGACCACATCGTGGACCCCCGTGATAACATCCTGATTGAGTGTGAAGCAAAGGGGAACCCTGCCCCCAGGTGAGTGGATGGAAAGGGGACTATAAAGACTGTGCTTACACCACATCTGGCCTCTGGGCCTGGTAATACTTAAGGCAAATGAGGCAGCTGAAAAAATTACATTCATCCATTGAAAAACTATCCACTGGGTACCTACTAGGTGGAAAGTACAATTTAGGTAACTTGGAAATTTGATAAGGAAAGGGAATAGAAAATTTGAGTGGTTTGTCTCTATTCACACTGAAAAGCCAGGACTAGATATTAAGTTTTCTGGCTTTCATCCTGACAACCCACTGCCTGTGTTACTGTTACCTACTCCGTGTTCAGCTTATGGGAAGTTCCTCTTCCTGGGTAACTGGAGACTTTCCTGCTGAGCTTGTCTCTAGTGTGCTCATCGGGACCAAATGAGATGTCAGCAGATACAAGTCAAAAGCCTGCTCTGTCCAGCCTCTGTTGGGTGTCGTGACTTAGGTTGGCTTGTTCACCCTCCTGGCTTTCTCTTGGACAGGACTGATATCTCCCGAAGAAGAGAGAGAATAGAGGGGCAGAGGGTTTTAAGTACACTTTTCACGGTTACCTGCTTGAAAGGGGCAGAACCCAGTTTTAAACCCATTCCTCCGACCCCCAAGGCCAGATTTGTTTCTGCCAAACAATAAGGGTTGGAGATGGAGCCGCTGTGAAGTTATCCATGCCCGTCATCAAACTAGCATCCTCAGACTGGACTCAGACCCAGCGTGACAGTGCCCACCTGGGGTTTCTGTCAGCAGGACAGGCAGACAACCTTGTTCCAGTCCTTAGGTTTACAGGAGACAGTCTAATCCAGAGTGTTGAGCCCGGAACCAGCAGGGACTCCCTCTCCCGGAGGGGCAGCCGGGGTTCTAGTGACCGTGCCTCTGAGATTTGGTCTTTTCCCTTTGGTTCCTTTGTGAGGACAGGGAGCAGCCATTGCTGCTCCTGTTTCTCCTCCTGCTTTTCCTGGTTCTGACCTGGGAAGCTGGGTCCTAGCTTCAGCAGACATGCGTGTCCTGCCTGGAGAAGCACAGGGACTTTTTCCCTTTTTTTTTTTTTTTTTGCGGGGAGGGGCGGGTGCTGGAGATGACTCCAGCGTCATACACCACCCGGGCAAGAAGCACTCTGCCACTGAGCCCCCTCCCCAGGCCCGGAGGGGCTTTCTAGTGCTCTTCACCAGTGCTCAGCGTCATTAAGCTGCTCCTCCAGGGCACCATGGTGTGGCCAGTGCTTCCTCTGTGCTCACTGAGCCGGACACGGATGGGCTAAGCCATTGTCCTTTTCTTTAGAATGGATTATGCAATTTCAGGGCAGGACGGGCAGCACTAGCTCCCTAATGCGTTGGGGTTGGGTAAAATGTGAATCTGAGTTTGCTTTCCTGGTCGGAGGTTAGGAATGTCCTGGGTGGAAGGAAGAGCTGACTCTGGATTTTTAAAAAATCAAAATTGCTACCCACTTCTCAATTATATATTTAAAGAGTGGAATCCCCTAAAGTCTAGTTGAGTATCCACCATGATTCCCAGCCTTGGCCCGGTGACAACACTAACACCAGGCCCTGCCCTGAAGAGACCTGTGTGGGTCTTGGGATTTTGCACTCTCAGGAGCTCCCCAGAGGGTGCTGGGACAGGAAGTCTGGCCCTGAATCGGGGATCTGGGTTCACCTGGAGTCCAGCCCAGTCCATCCACCTTGCCTGCTTCACCCCCACTGTCCACAGCTTCCACTGGACTCGAAACAGCAGATTCTTCAACATCGCCAAGGACCCTCGGGTGTCCATGAGGAGGAGGTCTGGGACCCTGGTGATCGACTTCCGCAGTGGTGGGCGGCCTGAGGAGTACGAGGGGGAATACCAGTGCTTCGCCCGCAACAAATTTGGCACGGCCTTGTCCAACAGGATCCGTCTGCAAGTGTCCAGTGAGTTCCATGGGGCGGGGCTGACATGCCTGCTCTTGGGTAGAAGGGAAGGGATGCAGAAGGTCATTCAAGGAGGGTTGTCCTGCCCTTGGCCTTGAGGGTGCCCTCCATCAATCTGTCCCCACGCAGAAAGATTCCCTGGAAGGGAAGCTTCCAGACCAGAATCTGCCAGAACTTCACCGGCCACTCTGTATAGGAAGAGGGGAAAGGAGAAGACATTTGAAGATGGGCGTCCACTCTGACCAAAGGCCGCTCCTCCTCTTAAGGGCCCCATCCCTCCCTCTGGCCTCCCTCATTCTCCAGTTTCCCCTGCTCACATGCCCGTCCTAGCCCCAGCCGTCAGCCTCACTTCCACCCTCCTTGTCTTTCTCCCCAGAATCTCCCCTGTGGCCCAAGGAAAACCTGGACCCCGTTGTGGTCCAAGAAGGCGCCCCGCTGACGCTGCAGTGCAACCCCCCACCCGGCCTGCCGTCCCCAGTCATCTTCTGGATGAGCAGCTGTGAGTCTCGGGAGCCTGCTGTGTTTGGGGGAGTGCGGCGGGGGTGTTGGATGGGAGGGTTTGCCCAAGCTGGAGACCCGGGACTTGGGAGAGGCAGATGCAGAGCTGCCACGTGGCTGAGAACACAGCTCTGTAGAGAAGCTTCTTTCGCTCTGTGACCTCGAGCAAGTCGCTTCACATCTTTGGGCCTCAATTTCCTCTTCTAGAAAAATCGGGATTAGCATCATATTTATCTGATGGGATTATGGTGAGAATAAACACATCTAATGTGCTAGAACCAGGCCAAACACACTGGAAGTTCTTGGTAATACTGGTGATGATGAAGGTGAGGAAGAGCAAGAGAAAAAGGAACAACGAGGAGGAGAACCCATGTTTCTTCTTCTTCTTTATTTTTTATGGTACCAAGGATTGAACCCAGGAGTGCTTAACCACTGAGTCACATCCTCAGCCCTTTTTATTTTTGATCTCATTAAGTTGCTTAGGGCCTCGAACTTGCAATCCTCCTGCCTCAGCCTCCTGAGTCCCTGGGATTACAGGCATGCGCCACTATACCCAGTCCATGTTACATCAATAGGCAGCTGAAGGCAGTTGTTGCTAAGTCTTCTCTTTCAATCTGGTCAGTGTGGGTTTACTCCAAATCACACCTCCAGTAGAAGAGAAAGTGGGGGAATGAAGGCTTTGATAAAAGGGCGATGGGGAGATAGGGTGTTTGGATCAGTGAACTGGGTAACAGCACTCAGAGATGATTCTGGCTCAGTTTGGGACAGAGGCTCATTTAACCTCTCTGGACCTGTTTTTCCCACATTTTCAGTTAAAACTCCAGGGGTTATTATAGAAATGAATAGAGGACTGATGTCTGTGTATGTCCCTGGCTTCCCCTCCCCCGTCTTCCTGCCCACCCCTCTGCCTCCTCTGTCCCTCCTTCCATCCCTCCCTTCCGCATCCATCCATCAATCCATCCGTATATCCATCCTGCTTGCCCATCATCAGTATTGGTCCATCTCACGTTCTACCAGCCTGTTGCCAGGAGAGGCTGCCATGTCAAGGCAGCAGCATTGCGAGTTGCTTTGTGGGGTGAGGATGACCTTGTGCTCAGTCACTGTCCCTATCTCCTCATGTCAGTGTGGTGTGGGGGGCAGGCTGCCTGGGGCAGGCGGGTGGATCAGCTTGTCCATTCCCTTTCGGACTCTCCTCCCTCATCCACCACGTCACGATCTTCACCATGATTGTGTCCATACCACCTCCTGAGGAGACCTCACAGCCTGCATTTCTTCCAGGCCACCATCAGCTGTCTGTCACCTGGTTGCAACACTTCTCCTTATCGGCCTCTCTCATCTTCCTAAGACTCTAAAACGGACGGTTTCATTCAAATGCTTCAAGCCACCTCAGAAGTGCAGGCTCCTTTCCCCAGCCACTCAGTCTCCTCCCTGACCTGGTCCCTCTGCCTCGCTATCCCTTCTCCTACCCTCCTCCTTGTACCCTTGAACCTCCAGATGAGCTCCTGTATTCTCTTAACCTTTAGCACATTCTCTTCCTGCTACTTGGAAACCGCTAAGCTCCTGTGTCTTTTCTGCATGGTGTAAGACACATAGCATTCAGGGTGCAGCTCTAGACCCGCAGGGGATTGGCCCTTTCTGCAGTCCATCTCCTAACCACCCCGCCCCCATATGTTCCACTCACCACATTACATAGCAATTACTCATTTACCTGCTGTCCCAACTGTTAGACTCAGGGTTCATTGATGACCTCTCTCTTTTTCACCAGCACCTAGCACAGCAACTACACATAGTAGGCCTATAGCAAATCTCCAAGGAATAATTCAAGGAGCTGACCATCCTACTGTGCAAAAGTTGGTATCACCTTGTGCTTTTTGTGTGTGGTAGTGGGGATTGAACCCACAGGTGCTCTACCACTGAGCCACATCCTCAGCCCTTTTTATTTTTTATTTGGAGATAGGGTCTCACTAAGTTACTGAAGCTAACTTCAAACTTGTGATTCTCCTGCTTCAGTCTTCAGAGTCTCTGTGATTTTAGGCCTGCACCACCGTGCCTAGTTTGACCTTGTGCTTGAAGACATGATGACTTGAGAATCAATTGTGGGGATAAGAAGGAGCTTGCTATGAATAATCAGCCTTAAGTATATGTTAACAGATCTCACCACCTGGAAACCTAGTCTTTTGCTTTTATGTCAGTGCATCAAAAAGATATAGATGGGCTGGGGATATAGCTCAGTTGGTAGAGTGCTTGCCTTGCATGCACAAGGCCCTGGGTTCAATCCCCAGCACCATAAAAAATATATATATATAGATAGATAGATAGATAGATAGATAGATAGATAGATAGATAATCAAGTCTGAATGCTGAGCTGAATTCTCTGATGTCATTCATTCAAAAAAGTACACATTTTTGTATTTCAACATCTCTAAAATTGGAAGACCTCTTAAAATCAAGAGACTACATCTGTTGGTACACATCTTAGTTATAATCAGAAGTTGTTTTTTTCTGAGGAGTAAAAAATTTTTTTAAAAAAGGTGTATTATAATTGACTAAATGGCTAAATTTTTATTAAACCAGCATAGCTAAGTTCAACTTTATTTAATTCCACAACCCATGGAGCCCTGGTGTACTGTGTTCTAAGATGGATACTGGGACATAAAGACGAGTGAGTTGTAGTCCCTGCCCTCAAATGCTCCTTGTTAGTGTGAGCATTTGAATCCTGATTTGAGGACATCCAGTGGCCTGTGTTCCCTCCCTCTGGCCTTGGGGTCAGCCAAATCGTTTGTGGCATGAACAGGAGTTTGAGAAGCGTGGCCATAGAGTATGGGCATGGTAGGCAGGCAGGTCTGGGTCTAAATTTCTGTTCTTCCCTCCCTGCCATGCAACCCAAGACTCTCAGTCCTCTGCAAGAATAAGCCCTGCCTCAGAGGTGAGAGGATTGGACGGACCAGTGTCAAGCTTCCGGCCGTCACCTGGCCTTCTGTAATGCTCAGTCGTCCAAACCGTGTTGCTCATTATTGCTGTTATCATTACTACTAACCTCGCCTCACATCTCTGCTTCCTTACAGCCATGGAGCCCATCACCCAGGACAAACGCGTCTCCCAGGGCCACAACGGGGATCTGTATTTCTCTAACGTGATGCTGCAGGACATGCAGACTGACTACAGCTGCAATGCCCGCTTCCACTTCACCCACACCATCCAGCAGAAGAATCCCTTCACCCTCAAGGTCCTCACCAGTAAGTGTAGGCCCCACCTGGGGCTGGGACTAGGGCCAGAGGAGGCAGCTCACTGAGCCCACCAGCCCCGGGTACCTGAGTCTGTGAGGGAGACTCATCCCCAAGGCCAACCTAGAAATCATTCTGCTCCTTGTGCCTGAACGACTGCAGCTACCCTTAGACAATGTCTCTTGATTCTGAAGCCTTGAGTCAAACTTGGCCCCACTCCCAGCTAGTGCTTCTCAAAATTGGCTGGGAAATAGAATCACACACCAAGGAGCATCTGTCCTACCTTGACAGCCCCGGGCCTCTGAGTCCTTAGCTCTCCAGGTTATTCAATGCTCCCAGAGTTTGAGAATGACTGCTTGAGTGATCGTCAGGCATCCCTGTGACGCACTTGGCTTGTTTCTTTTCTTTTTCTTTCTTGTTTTATTATTATTATTATTATTTTAGTTATTGATGGACCTTTATTTTATTTGCTTATTTCTATGTGGTGCCAGGAATCCAACGCAGTGCCTCACACGTATGTACAAGGCAAACATTCTACCACTGAGCTACAACTCCAGCCCCTATTCTTTTATTTCTATTCACTGCTTGATTATCTTTATTTCTAGAAAAAAGACAGAGTATACGATATTAAATTAAGTGGAAACACCACTATAGATGGTTTGATTCTGTAATATGTGTTTACCGAACCACTTGGATTCTCTGTGTTTACAAGTTACAGATTTGTCTTAGCTTTCTTTGTTTTCATTTTTATTCCATGATTCTGCTTGGCTGATACAAAACAAGTCAGCATTTCCTGTCCCATTATGCTGGTGGCCCTCCACACAGGGACGGGAGAAGCTTAGTAGGAATGACAAGGTCAAGTCAGCCTGGAGTTGTTGCTACAAAGTCCCCAGCTTGCTCAGGACACTGGAAGTTGACTCGGTTGGTTTATACCATGGCTGTGTGCCACGTGCCTTTCCCAGAAGAGCTCCCCCAAAAAGAGAGTTTTAATTTGTCAGACTCATGCTGTGAATGGTGCTGGCGAGGCTGTGGATGGCGAGGCTTGTGGGGAGGCCAGAACACCAGTACTGAGAGTGCTGGCACGTTCCACAGGTCGGAGGAAAAGGGGTGAACGCCAGCTTCCTGCAGCCCACCAGGAGGAGGCTGACGAGGCCCCGGTGGGTGCCCCTGGGGAAAGGTTTGTGTGGGCTCATCAGTGCAAGCAGGGTCTTAACCCCAGAGAACTCTTCCTTCCTCATGGGTCCTGCTGGTGATGGGACAGGTGTCTGATCACACAGCCACTTCCACCATGACAGAGTGTGGGATCTGTCAGCAAGCTGCTTCATTTTTTAGCTTCTCATAATTGTTTTTTCCTCCTCTTTTTCCCTTTCTTTCCTCAATTTCTTCCTTTTTCCTTTTTACATTGTTCCTCTCTGCTCTTCCTCTCTCGTTCTTCCCACCCCCACCCCATTCTTCCTTTTCTTTGAATTCCATTTCGTCTCCTCTGATCGCCTCCTGCCTCTGCAGGGTCCCCACATTTTGTTCCCAGAAGGCGTTGAAGGCCTGTGCTGTGTCAGCCCACAGAACTGCCCAAGACCCAGCAATGAGCCCCGCGTGGTCCTGGCAGGGTGGCCTGGCTTTGCTCTGCTTGCTCCCCCATCCCCTGCTTTCTCATTTCATACGCAGGCCCGGGGGCACCCTCTGGAGAAGAAAGTTGGTTTATCTGCAGTGTCTTCTTAATGTACCTTGGGTAACTACCTGCCAGGGGCTGATCTGGGAAGCACCGTGTGGTCTGCCCAGGACCTCAGAGTGATCTCAGTAGCCAGAACAGGGCTGGTCATGGAAGGAGCCAGGGGAGGGGCAGAACCATCAAGAGCACATCACTTTCTGAGTTGACCCTGCACCTCCTCCGGGGCCTTTTTCTCCTTGCCCCAGCAGGGCTGGAGATCAGCCTGCTGTTCCTGGGCCAGAGTTAGGAGCCTTCTGCCATCCTGAGCAGAGGCCTGGAGATGAAAGTGACGAGGAACTCCACTCTGTAAAAATTAAGTACTTAGAGGTTTGAGCAACAATTAGAAGTGGAACTTTCCAGAAATACCCTTTTCTCTACCCAAGGATGTAAGGGACGTTTCTTTCTGCTTCATCTCTGGGCCCCCCATTCCATTGAAAACTCTTTCCTCCAAATGATGGGAAGCCCTCGAGGTGACTGGAACAGAACCATGTCAGCTTCCTGGAGTTCTCCTGGGGCAGCTTTGGCTAGAAACAAGTTCCGGGCATCTGAGCCAGCTCAGAATTTGGCACAGTTGCTTAAAATAGCACAGCTGAGCTCTCTCGACTTTTCTGTCTGGGAAGGACACAGGCTTTTTCTTGTACCTTCAGAACCAGGTCTGGGGGTGGGAGGCAAAACAGTCTGCCCACAGTTTGCCCATTTGGAAAGAAATAAATCTCATCACACTCATTTTTTTTTTGTATTAGTTGCATTAAAGGAAGGGAAGAAAGATATATAATACAAAATGCTAGTCTATCTAAAACTCCAGGTCTGAGGACATAGCTTAGTGGCCGAGCGCTTGCCTAGCATGTGGGAGGCTCTCCAGCACTACAAAAGTAAAATTAAAAAAAAAACTTTTATTCTATTTTTGGATGCAGTCAAAGATAGCCATGGAGTCAAGCTAACAAAGATACACCTGTCCCTCTTTGCCCTCTCTATGACAGGCATCTAAGAGGCACCATGATGAGGGAGAAGGGTCCCCTGGAGGCAGACAACAGAGTGCATTCGAGCTCCCTCTTAACGTCTAAGTGACAGACTTAGGGGAGTCAGAAAGTCTCTCTGAATCTCTCATCTGTGCTGCAGAAGCCACAAACGATAAGGCCATTTGTGAATGTGGGTCACTCTTCTGGAAAAAGAAAGGCTGGCAGTTTTACTCAGTGGCATGGGATCATGAAAGAAGGGGCCCTTTCATCTGTATGTGCCATCATTTCCCCCCTAGAGGAAGGGAGTGCTCCCTCCCAAGACCAACCACAGCTCCTACCTATCCTGGTACCCCCGACCCCACATCCCATTGCAGATCCCTTTTCACCTTTTGCTCCAGATAGACCCAAGCCCATCTCCCAAGAGGGCTAGATCTTTTGTCACCAAGCCCATATTAAGAGATAGTTCAAATAATGAAAATCTTCCTACCAGGTGTTATGCAGATCGGGGATGCAATGCCAGTCCTAGAAAAGAACTCGCAGACCCTCTTATAATGAGTTGTAACGGGATTTGATCTGTCTTCAAATATGCAAATGTTTTGGCACAGCACCTGGCCTCCCCCAGGCGGTTGGACTGGGTCCTGGGCTGCTCAGGGCTGTCTGCTTAGCTTCCAGTCAGCAGCACACCCCCACCCCCTGCTGGGACTGTCTAAACTTGAATCCTGGAAGGGGATGGAGGGTGATGGCAAGTAAAAAGCTCCTTAGGGACATTGGAGTGTTTGTCTGTCCTATTCCAAAATGTCTTTTCACTGAGGATTAAAGGCCTCAGGGTTTAATGACCTCACATTAAATCCAAAGCCACTGATCTTGCTCCTTAAGAAATGTCTTCATTCCCAACGCACTCGACAGAGCTCCAATCTGTAGTGTAGCCCAAGGTGTAGAACTTGGAACTCCCGACCTCACTGTCCTGTCCTGTCCCAAGCCCCCCTTCCAATCCAAGAGCTGGGAGCTCAGCCACACTGGAGCACTCCCCAGTAGAGGAATCCCAGAGACCACGGTGTGTCCACCTGGCCAGATTAGGAGGGTGCTTGTTGCTAGGCATTGCTGGGGTCCCTCTGTCACCCCTCTCTGTTGACGACTATCTTCTTCCCCCATTTACCTCCTCCCTCCTGCTGCAGCTTAGCTTCTGCACCAGCAGGACTTGGCTCTTTTCCCCAGAGCTCACTAACACGCCTTTTTCTTCAGCTGCCCCAAGAGCTGGCCTGATCTGGAGTCCCGGGAAGTGAGGACTCGGACAAGAAGTTGGTCCTGAGACTGCTGCAGAATGCCACTAACCCTTATCTCATCTGTTTGAAATATAGTAGGACCAAGCAAAGTTCAAACCTAATTTCTTTAATTAAAAAAAAAAAAAACAACTTTATTTTACTCTTGCCTTCTTTTGCAGGATTTAACCTTTCTGTTCCTTTGTGAGCTGTTTTGTGTTGCTTGTCCAAACACGTTCCCTTCCCAAGTGCGCGTGTTTTCCTTTGCACACATCGCAGGCGCTCTCCTCGGTTGTTTTGGAGCTTCGCTTTTCTGTTTCTCTCTCCCCGTGTATGCCTCCATGACTTCTCCGTGGCCTTCTGTTTGCTCACCCTCTTTTGTTTATTGCAGACCACCCCTATAATGACTCGTCCTTAAGAAACCACCCTGACATGTACAGTGGTGAGTCGTGGCGGTAACCTTGGGAGTAACCTTGCCTGTCCTAACACCAGTTTGCCTAACTTGACTGATACCATGTCATTAACTCCTGCTGGGTGGCAGGTGTGACAGCTGGCCAGGCCAGGGTGCCAAGGTGACACGTCAGGATGCTGCCTGCTAGGTCCGTGCAGGAGTGTGAGGCAGCTCACGTGGAAGTGGTGTGATCTCCCCAAATGTTCGAGCCTCCAGCGGCCTCCAGTGGCTGTCCTAGCAGAGGGGCTCACCCCAGGGTAGGGCTTCTGAAGAGCTCCTTGGAGGTTCCAGCAGAAACATAGGCATCAGTGGCGGATGGATGGAGACGACCTGAGGTGCATGCCCACAGTGAGGAAGAAACAGGAAGTCTGGTTCCTGCAGGCAGTTAAAAAACCGCAGACAGCTTTTAGTGTCTGCATAGGAAGAGTCTGCTTTGCAGTGTAGCCTTAGCTCTAGGGAGTACTGCTTTATAGCTAGACCCCAGGTCTCTTCTAAATCCACCTGGGAAGTGGGAGTAAGTCAGCTCAACATTGCAGGTGAGTATAAATGAAGCTGGCCCATCTTCGGTCCTCTTTTAATCTGTGTTTCTTCTTGCCACTGGTGCAGGCAAATCCCCTGTCCACCAGCCCACACTTACAAGTCATGGAACAATTGCATGAAACATGTGTCTTACTCATCCCACAACTGGTTGCTGAGTCTGACTACTAGGGGAATTGGCTATTTCTGCACCTGAATTTCACGTCATTGGGGCCCAAGAATGTCTTCTTTACCTTGAGCAACCAGAGGAATCATCGTTTGATGGCTCTGGCAAGACAGCTGTGCCCCATCATCCATTATGCCTCAGAAGCTGAGGCTCCACGTCCCCAAGGGGGTCATTGGGGGCTCAAATAGAAAGTGTCCATCCTGAGGTGTGCTAATATAAACAATAATGGGTATCTAGAGTGGGGGATGGGATAAGGGTGGGAGAGCCAGTGGGGGAGGCCGAGGCTCCAACTTGGCACCAGGAAGCTAGAACCGCACTGAGATTCTGCCAGAGAAATTGACTGCCTGAGGAAGCAGGGGACCTTGGTTGGATTCTGAGAATTGTTTGTTTTCAAGCTAACAGGGCCAACCACTATTGTGTCAAAAGCCCCCGAGCACTATTACAGAATATGCCTTTTTCTAAATTCCAATCTATTATAATCGATTTGAGGAAGTATTGTGAATGCCAGAGTACATCAAAGTCAGAAGGGTCACTTAGAGACCATCTGGTCCAAGCTCCTTGCTTTCTATAGACCCTGCAAGGAAACCTGTTATTTTATCAACGGAATAAGGTTGAGTGATGCCAGCCACCTAAACCAATTTGGAACCAGCAGTTGAGATTATTACCAGAAAAATCAATGGAAGTTGTGAGAACCCCCCAGGATGCTGGCACCTACAAAGCTCACATGAAGACTGACCCCGAGCCCTCAATCCAAGGTGGGTCGGGGGTACCCAAGTATGAAGCTGCTGGAAAAGACATCAAGTCCAGATGAGGCACACATTAAACACAGGACAGCTAGGCTGATGATTCAGAAAGAAACAGGAAGTACAAAAGGAAGGAAGAGAAAGTTCCTTCCTGAGTGCAGGGAGCTGGTCAGAGACAACATCTATGGCAACTGCCCAGAACTTCTCTCTATTGGGCTTTGAAGTCGGCCTGTCTCTTGTAGTGATAGGGCGACCCCATACTTCTATTTTGTTCTGATGAGCCAGTGGGTTGGAAGCCTCTGAACATGGACCAGATGCCCCCTGACCTGCCGCAGTGATACGGAGGCCACTTGGGAGGGCAGGTGGCTGAGAGTGTGCACTTAAAGGGAGACCACCTCGAGTTAAACCCAGGCTCCAGGACATGTCACTGAGTGACACTGGGCAAGCCCTTTAATGACTCAGAAATTTAATTTCCTCACCTGTCAAATGACATCCCAGGATGTTTGTGGTTCTTTGTTTGGTTTGGATTGGTACTGGGGAGCGAATCCAGGAATACTTAACCACGGAGCCACATTCCCAGCCCTTTTTTAAATGTATTTTATTGAAAGACAGAGTCTCGCTGAGTTGCTTAGTGCCTCACTAAGTCGCTGAGGCTGGTTTTGAACTTACAGTCCTCCCGCCTCAGCCTCCAGAGTGGCTGGGATTACAGGTGTGAGCCACCACACCCGGTCCAGGATGGTTGTGAAGGTTAATCAGGATAATAGATGTGAGATTCCTAGCCAGGTGTTGGACACATCACCAATGCTACATCAATGTCATACGTTGCTGGCTTTAAAGGGAAGGGAGTCATATTAACTGTGTCATGCATAACTCATCTGTCTCTGAGGTTAAGAGGGACACAGAATTTGAAAAGAAGACAGGGACAGACAGGCAGGCACATGTAGGAAGAAAGTATACACAGAGAGAAATTTTAGGGCAGACCAAAGAAATAAAAATTGTCTAAGACTGAGGGGGGGAAAAAAGCCCCAAGTGCTGCGTGAGGGAGTTGAGTTAGATTTATGGAAGAAATTTCCTGGCAGTGAGAGGTATCAAATGTTACTAGGCAAACAGTTTTCTCATCTCATGGAGTTGTCTGGTCAGCCATTCCTAGAGCCAGAGAGTTAGACAGGATGCCAGGAACGCAGCCCCAGGAGTCTCTGGTTCTCAGTTCTCAGAATCAGAGGCAGCAAAGCATGTGGGTATAGGATCCAGCTGCCCCTAAAAGCTGTTTTTGGCCAAAGTCCTCAGATGTATCTGATTTGTTAGGCTCTCTCGTCCTGCTGCCATGCAGTGCTGACACAGGGGAACAATAATGTCAGCACTCTTGACCTTTCTTCCTGTGGGACACAATCGGGAGCCATTTTTCACTGGACCTTTAACATCAATATGGCTGAGGCAGCAGCAGCATCTGATGTCCCCTGGCTGACCGTGTGCCCCCAGAGACCCATGAGCCCTCTCTAAGCCACAGCTTTTGAGAGAGCAGGAGGGGACCAGTTGTCCTTGGGTGGAGGTCAGATGGGCCCATGTGGGAGGCTCTTCCTGAGTCCATGCAGACGTGAGCTATAGCATCTGGAAGATTCTGAGATTGGTCAGGTTTTAGGTGAGACCCCACTCCCAAGATCAGGAAGAGGGCTGGGAGGGCTGGGGATGTGGCTCAACTGATAGCGCGCTCGCCTCGCGTTCGTGCGGCCCAGGTTCGATCCTCAGCACCACATACCAACAAAGATGTTGTGTCTGCCGAGAACTAAAAAATAAATATTAACAAAATTCTCTCTCTCTTGCGCACGCACTCTCTCTCTCTCTCTCTTTAAAAAAAAAAAAAAGATCAGGAAGAGTAACAGGAGCGTTGTGAGGACAGATGTGCTCTCGAAGGATCCATGCTTCCATGGAGAGACACTCACCTGCCACCACTCGCAATTTCATACAGTAATTTACATTTGTCTTGGTGATCACTGGCACCTGTGTCTACTCTGGGAAAGAAAAATAAGTACCCTGGGCTGGGAACAGTAGTTCCCAAAGCCACCAACTGGATCATCATTCCTAAATTTTCATGTCAGTTCCTCCTGTTGCAACTGACCACATTTCTTTGTAACGTTCCCTTTAGCACCAACCTTCTTGATCCTAAGGATCCCATGTGTCACCCTGGCTCTTCGGCAAGCTTTCCATGCCCTTCAGAATCCAGCTCAGATGCCGTTGTGGGCCTGAGGTTACCTAACACCCACAAGGAGAGACGGAAGCTTAGCTGAGACATGAGAGGAGTAAAGCCTAGTGGAAGAGTCCCACCAAAGCAGCTTAATAAGATCTTTCCCCCTCACCTCCTTTGCCATCAAATTTTGGTTTTCTTTGGTTTGGGTAAGGAAGATATTCCAAAAATTGCCTGTCAGAAGTAAGGACAAGTGGGGTCTCCAGCTTTAGACAGAGTGGCAATTTAGCATAGGAGCATGAGTTTTGATGCTAAATATCCAGAATATAACAAGCTTGTGACTGCAGGCAAGTCTGTTGACTTCCATTTCTTCTGATAAAAGATGGGGGTAATGCCCCCACGTTTATAGCGAGGTTCCACATGATGCTGGCGCAGATGGAGTCGTCGGCACCGTTGACCCCTAATAAATGCTTACCAAGTGGTGGCCCTGATTTTTACCTCTGATTTTTTAGGGTGTTCTTTCTTTTCCTTTGAACTTTGGCCTACTTCCCAGTAGTTGTCTCCGTCCCTGAGATAGTTCTGTGTTGCTAGCCCACATCCTACAGGGCGGTGTCGTGAGAGCCTTTTTATAGTCACAGCTGTAGTGTCATGGCACCCAAAGTGGGACTCTGTGCTGGTCTCCCTCCTCCCCATCCTCACTGCTTCGCTGGTCATGCGTGTTTGTGGTGCCGCCTGCTCTGGTGTGATTAAGTGTCCACCGAGCCACAGATTGGTTTCTGCACAGGGTCCCCGCATGGAATGAGTATACCAACTGAGCTGGGCATCTTCCACATCCTCACAGGGCTCTCGGCTCCCACCTGATCTGAAAGCCTCCTGCCCTGCCATGTCCTCCTTGTGGTGCCCTTGACCTTGTGTTGCCTTGACTGTGTTGGTGACTTTGTAATGATGGGTGGGAGGAAGCTGCTGCTTTGGGGTCGGCTTCCTTGGTGCTGAGAGCTGGATGCTACCAGAGCTGTAGATGTAGATGGTAACCCATTAACCACATAATGGATTAACCCCTCAATAGCCACGGTTGTGTATGTGTGTGCTGGTGGGACAGAGGAAGGCACCTACAGAAAGAGAAAGAATGTTCGGGGTACATCTTCTCCGTTTTTTTATTCCCTTCACCCCCTTTAATTCACTCATTCTGAAACATTTAATGAGCATTTGTTATGTGCTGTGTTTGTGCCAGCAGCCTCAGTACCTCAGGATATGTGTCATCCTTTTTTCCCTTGACAGAAAGATAAATTAAAAGCCAACCCTACAAGATTCACTCCCCAGTGGCTAATGGAGAGAAGCTGAACACTTCTAGGACAGGAAGCCCCCTGGTCCAGCCAGGCAATGGCTACCCCGGAAAGCTCCATTAGGAAGCACCAATTATACAGAGACAGAGGCGCCCGCCATCTACCCTCACTCTGCCAGTGCCAATTAAGCCCCAGGATGGATGCCTTTGTTCTCAGTCCAGGCATCTCTGGGGGCTCCCAGCTCTGGGCAGCTCTGCCGTCCCCCCACCTCCCACTTCCCAAACAAGCCTAAGATCCATTCAACCCAGGTGCAGGCTCAGCTTATAGCTCCTTTATAATCACACACCTTGGGGCAGAGGGTCCCTCCTCCCGTGTCCCTTTTGCCTTGGGGCTGCCTGATTGGGGAATCCTTGCTCTTTTCTCTCCATCTTACCCATCTCCAGAGAACCGCACAAAGAGCTGTGGGGGAGGGGCAAGGGCGCAGGTCAGATGGGGCGCACTCTGTGGATGCACCCACGCCAGCCTGACCCCTTCCACAGGGAAACCAGCTTCCTGATAATGTCAGTCTGTGAGCCACGTGGCCTTTAAAATGTGCGTGAATTTCGTTGATTTCAGACCCCTGGCTGTCCCAGCCTAGTTGTCCATTCGGGCTGCCTCTCCCCCTCCCCCCAGTATCTCACGTGCAATTAACACCCCCCCCAAAGCCCCCTTCCAAAGTCATTAGTGGGGAGGCAGAATGGTGTTGGCCTCAGAGTGATCTCCTGTCATCTCTGCTCATTAATTCTCTCCATGTCCTTGCTAAGCCATTAATAACCCCTCCCTGCATGTCTGACTGTTTATCTGGGGCTTTGTGGCTTCGTCCCAGCTCCTTGTCTTCAGGGTCCCAGAGAGCAGTGTGTCTGTCCTGTGGCCCCAGTTCATGCCTCCTCTTTCTCCCACCTCCCAGTCTGGGGAGGAAGGACTACTGCTGAGATGGCCTGCCCTGGGGGCTACCCGCAGTGGCCTCTGGGATTTCAACACAAGATGCTCCAGGAGTGGACTTCTCGCTGTTCAGTCAGCCCCCTCCCCTTCCAGGGAAGGGGAGGTTTCCTGGGCTGGGGAAGATGGGCTCCTCTTGGCAGATCCTTTCAGAACTTAGAGCTGGTCACACAATGTGCTGGTGGGGCTGAGGAGCCAGAGCTTCCTAACCTCTCAGTGATGCCCTGGTCCTTGGGGTGGTTTGGGCGGGGAGGATCCAGCAGGGGGTGTGGTGACATTTCTCTAGCCCGACAGCTTTGGCCGACCCAGGTCAGCCCTCTGGGCAGAAGGCTCACAGGAGCTTGTTCCATCCTGTTTCAGCCCGAGGAGTTGCAGAGAGAACACCCAGCTTCATGTATCCCCAGGGTACCTCGAGCAGTCAGATGGTGCTCCGCGGCATGGACCTCCTGCTAGAGTGCATCGCTTCTGGGGTGTACGTACACTTGGCACCCCACTTCCAGCCACCTTCTGGAGGATGGGACGGGAGTCTGTCCATGTTCTCTTCTTGCCTCTGTGGGGGACATACCATTAGTGTAGTGAAAGTGGGGACAAACAGTGAGCAGAGCTTGACAGATCGTAGTCACTCCATCTGTGTAGTCATTCTGCCATCCCTGTTTCTGAAAAGGAGAAAAGGAGATGGTCAGGCATCCCACGTGTGCTTTAAGATTTCAGCTAAGTCCCTTGAGCTCTCAGGAACATTGCATCCTCCTCTGAATGGGAAGGATCAGCTCTTAGTGGACATGTACCCTCCTTTTAGGACACCAGTTGTTCCAGGCTCTCTGGAAGGCAAGGGTCATGTTTAATGACGATTTCTCTATTTCTTGCTTGGTTCCTTTACTAGCCCAACACCAGACATCGCGTGGTACAAGAAAGGTGGGGACCTCCCATCTGACAAGGCCAAGTTTGAGAACTTTAACAAGGCTCTGCGTATCACCAATGTGTCCGAGGAAGACTCTGGGGAGTATTTCTGCCTGGCCTCCAACAAGATGGGCAGCATCCGGCACACGATCTCGGTGAGAGTGAAGGGTACGTTGTGTGTATTTCTCATTATGATTATTTTGCCAACCCTGAACACCATGACCACCCTTCCCTCTGAGGGTGGTTGCGGGGGTGGGGCAGGGTGAGTGGGGAACCGTCAGTGCACTGGTTAGTGGCAATTATGACCTGCCACAGGAGTTGCCATTCCCTGGATGTGAGGCTTGTCTGCATGCATAGTGCTTGTGTGTGTGTGTGTGCACATGTGTGCATGCACGCATGTGCAGTGGGGGTTGAGGGAAGGGGATCCACCTGGACCATCACCAACTCTCCCTGGCGCCGGGGCTCCCTCAACAGGTGACTTTCCTCCCATGGCCCATTTGGATCATTCCCAGAGCCTTTTCTTTCTTTCGTTTTGCATTCCCGTTTGTGACGTGTCGTCTTAGCCTGTGCTTGTCTGTGTATCTGTGCATAATGCTGTGCTTCTTTTTAAGAAGGGAGAGTCACATTGTAGTCAAAATTATTATTTTTATTTTAAATCGCTTCCCTCTCCTAAAAACAGAGATGGCCCGCCTGAGCTATTGCAGGCAGTAGAGCACCTGTCTTCATGGAGCCCAGCCACGGGCGGTGGGCTGCAGGAGTCAGTTCTCAGCCCTGGGCTGCATGGATGATTGGAATGATGAGATCGGAGGCCAGAGAACAAGACCCTTCTTAGCACACAGTTAGTGGATCTCATGACTCTGGCTTGGCTTCAGTCCCACAAACAGACTAGGAGGTTGTTAGCATGGGGGAGTGGGGAGGATGAAAAGATCTTTGAGAATCTAATGCAAAGATCCTCTTGCTCACAAAAATCCACACATGCCCTCATTCTCAAAATTGTCCAAACAATTGAAAGGGGTGGCCAACTACTCAGAACTGCTCTCACCAAAGTGCAGTGCCTGAAAGAACACAAGGCCTTTCCTAAACGGTCTGACTTGGCATCAACAGAAATACAGAGGGACAAACGCAGGGCAGTGGATCGAACCCTTGGGTGCACATCATAAATATGAGTGATCTCTAAAAGCATTGCCACTTGAGCCTCCCCTGAGGAATATGGTCTGGTAGCCTAAAATGAACCCCAGCAGCCATTAGATTGTCCTGATGGGTTTTTAAAAGTGCTCCAGGGATTCTCATGAGAAGTACTATTCTGTGAACTCTTATAGATGAATTGGCTGGTGCAGCAAAGCCCACCACATGCAGGCTGGGCCGCGCCACTGCAGTCATAGTGCACCTGGGGCAGGTGGTGCAGCCCTACAGCTGGGCCTCCAGCTCCTGCCTTCCTTCAGGGCTCCCACCTGGTGTCTCCTGCCTGCCCCTGCCGGCTAACTCCCCCTGCCTGTGCCCGCCTTGTCTTCCAGCTGCTCCCTACTGGCTGGATGAACCCAAGAACCTGATCCTGGCTCCTGGTGAGGATGGGAGGCTGGTGTGTCGAGCCAATGGGAACCCCAAGCCCACTGTCCAGTGGATGGTGAACGGGGAACCTTTGCAATGTGAGTAGCAAGTTAGTGCGCGCCCAGTGCTCCTGCCTGGCCTGTCCGAGGTTCCAGAGCCCCCTCCCTGCAGGCCAGCCCGGATGCTGTAGAAGTGGAGGGAAAGAGTAATCCATTGGCTGTCCCTGCAGCCTGTTTGGACATCTAGAGAGGCAAAAAACCTGCCTATCTGTTTACAAGAGAGAATGGGAGCCCCATGATTATTTCCCATGTTTAGGTGATTTCATGGGTTTTTCTTAAATTTTTGCTTTCTGCCCCATATCCACTACAGGGTCCCAGTTAGGGTTTGGGAACTGCAGCTTCATCTTTGAAGGTTCAGCTGTGAGTGACATCCAGGACATGGAACATAGAGGGGAGTCCAGGAGCCCCTTGTCATTGGTTAATCAAGTCCCATCTCTGATAAGGGCAAAATAAGAGGCAAGGTATATGAAAATGTGAAAGACTATGTTGGATATGAGGAAGAACTTTCCCCAGTGACGGGAGAGTTACACAGATGCAGTTACTGAGTAGGCATAAACTTTGGGAAATTTTAGTCCTACTGAGATGGGCAGAGCGGGAACTCCAGGGTCCCTTCCAGCTGGTCATCTTGGTCATATTTGCACATCATATTCTCTTCAGTTGGTTTTCCTTTTTTGTGTGTGTGGGGGGAGTACTGGGGATTAAGCTCAGAGGCACTCAACCACTGAGCCACCTCCCCAGCCCTATTGCATGTTTTATTGAGAGACAGGGTCTCACTGAGTTGCTTAGCACCTTGCTTTTGCAGAGGCTGGCTTTGAACTCGCGGTCCTCCTGCCTCAGCCTCCCGAGCTGCTGGGATTACAGGCATGCACCACCACACCTGGCCAGTTGCTTTTACTTTTTTAAAAATATCCAGTCATTGCTTTCTGTAAGGAGTCAGAGGAAACTAAAGCAGTGATAGCAACCAGGTGGGGCTGAGAACTCCGAATCTGACTCGGGAGCAGCAGCTGACAGGAGCAGGGGGAGAGGCAGAGGGGACAGGTGGACAGGCGAGCTGAACCCCTGTAGACATTGTGTGTCTGGGTTGGGTGCTGCACCCTCTTATCTCTTTTCATTTCACACATTAAAGGTGAGGAATCAAGGTTCTGGTTGGTGCAGGGAAGGATCCCGGATCGCTAGGCTAGTCAGCGGGGAAGCTGTGGGTTCCCATGAGGCTGTACCCCTGCACCAGCCTAAGAAGTCTCATTGCCCTGGTCACAAGCAAAGACAGACACAGCCTGTCCCCCATGGCCCTCTCTGTCCTTAAAGCATTTGAGGGCAAGACAGGCAGTGACACTAGGTTCCACAGCACTATTATATAAATGCAGCCCAAGACTGCCCCAAAAACGTCACCTTTCACCCTCTCCAGGGAGTTCCCAAGAGGAGTGACTGGGAAGAGAGTTGGCTTCCTGAGAATGGCCTGCAAAGAGGCATTCGGGTTCTGGCATGGCCTCCCTTGGTGCCCATTTGCTGAGTGGGGCTGGGACTGCCTCATAAGGATGCTGAGCTTGTCTTTATTTACCTTCTGCTGATTCCCCAGCTCTGGGCCCAGACTCGCTGTCTGTGGAGTGGCGCCCCTGGGGCCAGACTCCTACAGCCTCCTCTGCCTGCTTCCCTTGTAGATCTCAGTGGTCCTGAATGAGCTCATGGATTCTGCAAGCCAAGTCATTGCTCTCTAGTCCAGAAAGCTCTAGTGGTTAAAGATCAGAAAGGTGTCACGGTGGTGCATGCCTGTGACCCCAGCTACTTGGGAGGCTGAGGCAGGAGGATCGAAAGTTCAAAAGTAGCCTGGGCAACTTAGCACGGCCCTATCTCAATATGGAATTTTAAAAGGGGCTGGGGACATAGCTCAGTGCTTACCTAACATGTGGAAGGTTCTGGGTTTCCCCAGTACCAAAGAGAGAGAGAGAGAGAAATGGCCATTATTTACATTCCTAGAAAACTTTCACTTTTATAGCTGATTTTTATTCTTTTTTATCTTATTCTTCTTTAAAGTAGGGGAATGATGGGAGTAATGCTTAGTTCATTTTAGAAGTAAGGGAAATGAGGCCCAGAAACATTTGTTGATTTGTCCAGGCCCCAGAGCCATTGTCAACAGGATCAAGACCACAGCTACTCCCCAGCCTCTGCTCTCTGCACCCCAAGCCAGCAAAATCTGGAGAACTGTGGGCAGGAACGTACTGTGTCTGGGAAGACCTGGGGCCTTTGCAAACAGAAAGACTTTCAGTTTGCTAATGGGTTTAACTTTGTGCGTGTTTGGAGATGCCCCTCTTAGGGGATGGGAAGTGGTAGTTCCTGTCCATTTGTGAATGGCTTTATCCTTTTCAAAACATACCTAAGTATATGTGTGTTGAAATTAAATGATAACAGCAATAATAATAATCAGCATTGCTGGAGCGCTGCTTCTTTATACACATATACATCTCAGGCTACCTTCACAAAAACCCGCCAGGCAATGTGTTATTTCCACACTGCAGACCAGAAAACTGAACATGAAAGGGTTGGAGTGTGAGTTCTGTTCCCAAAGCTTATATTCTCCAGCATACCTGCCCAGCTGTTATTTGGGTTAAACAGGGCTATGTATTACCGCTGGATGGATTGAGAAGCCTCTATAGGAGAGTCAAGGTCACAGGGCTCAGCCATGATGAGGTCAGAAGCCATGTCTTCTTAGTCCCATACAGGGATCCCTCTTCCACGTCACCCCAGTGATGCTCAGAAGCCCTGGACAGACTCCCAGTGCCCTTGCTCCACCCATTTCCAAATCTCACGAGGAGCATCTCTGTCTTATCTGTAGCGGCACCACCCAACCCAAACCGAGAAGTGGCAGGTGACACCATCATCTTCCGAGACACCCAGATCAGCAGCAGGGCCGTGTACCAGTGCAACACCTCCAACGAGCACGGCTACCTCCTGGCCAACGCCTTCGTCAGTGTGCTGGGTGAGCTGTCCCCACCTCTGCTCACCCACAGTGGAGGCTCCCCGGGGCCTGGTCATGTCATGGGGTACACTTTTTTCTGGAGATCAGCCAGGCTGGGCAGGGTAAGAGGATGAGGGGTGGGGGAAGCATGCACTCCACAGAGCTGGACAGGAGCAGTTAATTCATCAGAGAAGTCAGCATTGATTCCCCCCATTCCCCGGATGAGGGAGGGTGAGTCTGTGAGTTCCCCTTGGGTCCCAGCTGGGACGTGGTTCTGAGAATGTTTGCTGCACCCCCAGTGGGAAGAGGGCAGTGGAAATGGGGAGCTTCCAGGTGCCTCAGGGCTGCAGAGGGGCAGCTGCAGATCCTACTGAATAACTCAAGGAAACTTCGCAGAAACTGGTCAAGCTGTAGGGTCGACGAGTGTGGCAGGTGTATTAGCTTACTCCCTCCTCACCTAATCCTTAGAGGCTTCTAGGAGCCTCTAGAAGGAGGAGATGTTGATAGAGGAAAGTGTCGTGAGTTCCTCGAAAGCTGCTGTAAGGAGAAGGCACGTAGAGATGGGACCAAGGAAGGAGTGGAAGAGTGGGGCTCCACACCCAAGATCGGTTCTCTGGGAATTTCAGATGTCCCACCTCGGATGCTGTCACCCCGGAACCAGTTCATTAGAGTTATTCTTTACAACCGGACACGGCTGGACTGCCCGTTCTTTGGGTCTCCCATTCCCACACTGCGATGGTAAGTCCCAGGAGACCTCTGCAGCAGAGGTCATCTCTCTCACCTTTCTGAGTCCCCTCCAGCCCATACTAGGTATTCAGCAAGACCTGGGAAACTTAAAGGGTCAAAGCTGGGAGGAACATGGCAGGTCATCTGGTCTGGGTCAACCCACTTCTTTTATAGAGAAGGAGCCCAAGGCCCAGAGAGGGGCCGAGAGTTTCCAGGGCTGCCAGGCAATGGGAAGCAGACCCTGCAAGGCTTTGGGCCCAGGCTCCTAGCCTGGGGCTCCCTCCGCTGCCACCGCCATCTCTCCCAGCTGGTGGCTGCCCTGCTCCCCCGGCCGGTCCCTTCTCAGATGCTCTGTTCCGCTGCTCTGTTGTGAGGTTTAAGAATGGGCAAGGAAGCAACCTGGATGGTGGCAATTACCATGTCTATGAGAATGGCAGTCTGGAAATTAAGATGATCCGCAAAGAGGACCAAGGCATCTACACCTGTGTGGCCACCAACATCCTGGGCAAAGCGGAAAACCAAGTCCGCCTGGAGGTCAAAGGTAAAGAGTTAGTAGGGAGGGGCTCGGAGTGAGGAGGAAAAGCTGTGCTCACGGTTACCCGCATGTGGTGTTTCAGCCCGAGCGGGCTCCTCAGCGCACCTCTGCACGCCCTCTCCTGGGCTTCCAGCTGACCCGGGTGCTGACAACTGAGTGGGCTTACTCCAGCCTGGTGCAAAGGGCATGGGGACAGGAAGCCTGCTCTTCACACCAGCTCTCTGCAACCACCAGAAATTACATCTGTGTTCTTGAGTCAGAAGGAAAGGATTTGGGGGGATTGTTTGATTGCCCACACTGGACCCCCTCCTCCTTTCTTACAAGTGCATACTATTCCCACCACCTTCAGTGGCCCGATCCGAGGCCTCAAGGTCAGGCATGCCACACTGTCTGTCCACATGGGGGTGGTGGGCTGAGGACTGGCCAACCGTGAGCACCCTGGACATCTCCACAGATCCCACCAGGATCTACCGGATGCCCGAGGACCAGGTTGTCAAGAGGGGCACCACAGTACAGCTGGAGTGTCGCGTGAAGCACGACCCCTCCCTGAAGCTCACCGTCTCCTGGCTGAAGGATGATGAGCCGCTCTATATTGGAAACAGGTTTCTGTTCCTCCCTTCTCTCCTCCTGCTCTTAGTTAGAGGGGCATTTTGTCTTCACTTGCTAATGTTATGCTTGTCACCAAGGAGCTACTGAGGAGGGGGAGATGGCCTTGGTGATTCCCTGTCCTTGGGGGAGACCCCTCCCCCACACCCTTCTTCCTCTCCCATTGGCTCCCTGCTTCTCTCTCCTCTTTTCTCTCCCTTCCCCTTCTTCATTTCTTCTCTCCCTCACTCCTTTTCTTTCTCCTCTCCCCCCTCCCTGTCTTGTCTCTTCTGAATCCCAGCCTCTAACCTTTCAGCCCTGTTTGCAGTGCTCCTGTTCTCCAGTAGAGGGCAGCACTGGCCCCAGCCCACTATGTCCATTGCAATAAGTGGCAGGGTTTTTTGTTTTGTTTGGGTGTGGTTTTTTTCTTTTGAGGGGTAAGGGAGTACCAGGGATTGAACTCAGGGGCCGATCGACCACTGAGTCACATCCCCAGCCCTATTTTGTATTTTATTTAGAGACAGGGTCAGTGGATGCTGACAGCTTACAATCCTGTCCTGCTCTAGGTGCCTCCTCCCTTTGCAGGGGACAGTTCAGAGGAGCAGGGTGGTGGGGAGAGGCCTCCAGAAGCCTGGGTGCAAAGGAGACAAAGCTCCAAGAAGAGGAGGACACCTATGGGTGTTCAGGGGCCTAATGCCACCCTGATGTAGGAGGGCTGTGCAGCACAGGGACGCACAGAGACAGGCCAGGTGTGGACTAGGAGAGCAGTGGACAGAGCTCAGTAGCTCCACCCACGTCCTCTCCCCCTCTGTGGAATGCCATGAGTGCTTCTGTGACTCTGAGACCCTGCCTCTTGCAACGCATGGAGGCAGAGCCCCACAGTCCTGGCAGCAGCCGTGGCCGCCCAGCCGGGCCATGCTGTCCCCCTCTTCCTTCCTCCTCATACCCTGCAGCAGGGAGAGAGCAGTGGCAGTGCCCGGCGCCCACCCCTGCTCCCCTTGGTACCTTGCAGGATGAAGAAGGAAGACGACTCGCTGACCATCTTCGGCGTGGCAGAGCGGGACCAGGGCAGTTACACGTGCGTCGCCAGCACGGAGCTGGACCAAGATCTGGCCAAGGCCTACCTCACCGTGCTGGGTAAATGCTGCCACCTGCACCAGCACTGATGTCCCCTCCTCCCTGCTCCCCAGCAGCCAGAGAAGCAGTGGGCCCCAGCAGTTCTGTGGGTGACACCTGTGTTCAGCGTGGTACTGTATCACCTTCTGGTCTCAGGTTGAGGAAGCTGCTACCTTGGGAAAGAGCTGTGATGGACAGTTTGGATACTAATTCTCCTGAACCTCAATGGCAGGGTGCTGGGGTGACAGAGAGAAGTGCAGAGGGGGCTTCTCCTCATGACCCTGGTCACCTCTTACAGCTAATGTCACACCACTAAGTGCATTAAAATGACCCAGCTCTAAAGCCACGCTGGGTTTGCCTTTCAGTAACCTCTGCTAGCCCTCCCCACACCCATGCTGCTCCTGGATTTTGGTGGCATTTCAGAGCATGCTACACACTCAGCAAGGTGATGCCATCTCTTCCTATCCTTGTGTCCAACTGGACAGTAAATACTAAGTCATCGTAAACCAAGGGCAAGTGGCCTCTCCCATCCAGGGAAGTAGATCTCTGCTGGCCCTCATCACCTCTGACCTCTTCTTTGGACATCCTCCCACCATAATCAGAGTGTATTCCTGTCCCACAGTGGAGGAGCACCTTTGCTGGTGGTGGTGGGTGCTGAAACATTCATGGGACTGGGGCGGGTAGGAAGCACAGGTTCCACCCCCAGCCATGGAGGACACGCAGTTGACCTCAATGAGGGTGGGGGGGGGGGGAGCCTCCATGACAGGGATGAGGAAACCATGCCTGAACACCTCAGCCAGGGGCAGCTGGTCGAGCCTCTGCTGCCCATGCCCATCCTTCCAGAACACCCTTAACCCTGATAACCTGCTAACCTGGATAACCTGTCTTACCGTTGCAGCTGATCAGGCCACTCCAACTAACCGTTTGGCTGCCCTGCCCAAAGGTAATTCTTACTAATCAGGGGCCCTCACCAGTGCCCCTTCTAGGCCCCTCCAGAGTGGAGTCTGGGAAGCAGAGGGTGCCTCAGGAAAGGATGGCTGCTGGGGATCCTGGCCCTCCACACGTGGCCTCCTTTCCATGTCCACGTCCCCCTGCCTCCATTACCCGATATCCAGCCCACCTCTGCGATCCTTGGCCAGCTGAGCTCAGAAGCTCTTGGCTGCCACTTTCCCCTCTTCTCTTACCTCTGGCCACCCTCACCTCTCCTTCAGGGTGGCTCGTCCTCCCCCAGCTTGGTCTCAGAAGTGTTTAAAGTCGGAAAACCCACTGCCGCCTGTGGGCCCTTCATTTTGTAAGCTCTCCCACACCTGCTGCTGTATATCCACTCACAATCTGGACACATCTGTGCACACACATTAATGAGGGCTCACGTGACACATCTTCCAGCTTCTTCCTATAACCAGCCAAAATATGGCAACAGCTGGCTCGGGGAGCCAAGATGGCAGGGTTGGGGGGACCTTGCCTGTTCCCCACCAGTCGCTGGATGGCTTTATCCCCATGCAAGATGGTGCTCATCCCACTAAAGCAATCCCAGGGAGAGTGAGCCCCAGGAGGTGCTGCCCACATCCTGTCTGGAAGCCTTTGGGGCTCCTCTGTCCCACATGTTATCACTGAAACTTCTAGACCAAGTTTCCATCACCTCCCTGCCAGTCCTCTTTCTTTGTGTCCTCCCCACTTCCCTAACCTGTCTGCCCTGCCCAGCTCACCCCTCCTGGGCTCTGGTCCCCTCTGAGCCCTTGCACACAGAGCAGAGGGTAATTATTGTGATAAAAAGAGACAGAACCCTGCACTTCCTCATCAACCTTCCTAAATGTGGCCGCGGCTGGGTGAAAGGACAGCCTTCTCCATGAATGTCTGCAGAAACGGGATGGGTTGGTCCTGGTTCTCTCTGTGCCCTGCATGAGCCTCTTTATTTCCTTGATCATATCCTTTGATGTTGGGGGGGGGTAGAACTGGAAATCTCCTCTTTGTTCTTCTTTGGCCCCCGGAGGAAATGGGATGGTCCCCATGCTGGCCCTCCAGGGTTGGGGAATTGGATCCCATTGGTTGCAGAGACCCTAAGTCTATCAGGGACCTGTCCAGGGCCGGGACCCCCACAAGGAGGGGCTGGCTGTCACTCAGGAGGCCTGCGTGGTGTCTTCTTCCTCTGCTACCAGGACGGCCAGACCGACCCCGGGACCTGGAGCTTACTGACCTGGCCGAGAGGAGTGTGAGGCTGACCTGGATCCCGGGGGATGATAACAACAGCCCCATCACAGGTCAGCCCAGGGCCCTGCGCGCTCTCCAAAGCCAGAAAAGAGAACTGGTCTCAGGTGCAGCAGAGCATGCCTGTCATTCCAGCTACTTGGGAGACCAGGGCAGGAGGATCCCAAGTTTGAGGCCAGATTGGGCAATTTAGCAAGACCGTGTCTCAAAATAAGGGGCTGGGAGTGTAGCTCTGTGGTAGAGTGCTGGCCTAGCATGTGTGAGACCTTGGGTTCAGACCCTAGCACCTCACCAAAAGAAAAGAGGGCAGGTAACAGCCTTGAACCAAGAGGTTCCCTGGTGTCTGGTCCCACCTCTGCCCACTTGGCGTGGGCCCTGGCTCCCTTCCATGACCTGGGAAGGATTCTCCATGTACCACTGTCCACCTGGGAGAGGATAGGGATTAATGGGAGGCAAGAAAGAGGTGTTTTTAAAGCAGGACATTGCTGACTCAGCTCCTGAAACAGCTCCGTCCTCCCTGCCCACTCAGACTATGTCGTCCAGTTTGAAGAGGACCAGTTCCAACCAGGGGTCTGGCATGACCATTCCAAGTTCCCAGGCAGTGTCAACTCAGCTATCCTCCAACTGTCCCCATATGTCAACTACCAGTTCCGGGTCATTGCTGTGAACGAGGTCGGGAGCAGCCACCCCAGCCTCCCATCCGAGCGCTACCGAACCAGTGGAGCACGTGAGTACTTTAGGGCTCCCCAAGACGGCCCAGGGCCCGGTGCTGAGTTCCCCAGTTCCCAGCCCCGTGAACTTGGATGAGTTACTTGACCTCTCCAAGGTTCAGCTTCCTTATCTGTGAAACAGAATAATAATAACACCTGCCTCCTGGAGCTATGGTGAGGCCCTCATTAGAAAATGTATGTCAAGCCAGGCATGCCTGGAACCCCAACCGCTCAGGAGGCTGAGGCAGGAGGATTGCAAGTTCAAAGCCAGCCTCAGCAACTTTGCGAGGCCCTAAGCAGCTCAGTGAGACCCTGTCTCTAAATAAAATATAAGAAAGGGTTCGGGATGTGGCTCAGTGGTTAAGCTACCCAGAAAATAGAAAAGGCATGTCACGTGCTTCCTGTGATACCCGGAGTGTTGTAAGCACACAGTGAATATTAACTGCTCCTTTTATTATTAATATTAGTGATTCTTGATCATCCACTCACAATGGGAGAGCTATGGCAAAGATGTGTGGCACAAATATATAACCCACTGTTAGATCCGATTTCTTTTCCTATTGCACTTGGGTAATGTTTAGATTTCTGAAATCTCACCGGCTCATAGAGGTTGGAGATGCTCCCCCCAAAATGTTAAATGCTGGGGATAAAGCAATCTGGTGTGAAACATATTTAAGTGGATAATCCATGAACAGGATAATCCGCATTGAATTGGCTTATTGACCACCCGCAGTATGGAAAGCCTTATGCTAATTGCAGTCTGATAAGGGATTAAATTTAAAAGAAATAGCTCTGCTTTAGGAGTTTAAGCCTTAGCTAGGAAGGCATATCATACACGAGAAAAAGACGGAGTGAGTTCAGTGTATACAGAGGCTGAGAAAAGCCGGGATGAAGAAGGGACCAGTCGGGTGGGAGGGAGGGGGGAGGCTTTCTGAGCCCTGGTGAGGCAACAAGTTAGACGTGAACTTTGTGTCTGTTTGGTTCCAGCTCCTGAGTCCAACCCCAGTGATGTAAAGGGAGAAGGAACCAGAAAGAACAATATGGAAATCACGTGGACAGTAAGAACCTCTCCCAACGCCCCCGTCCTTGATGAGCCAGCTCACCTGGCCATGTGCCCCTGGCAGCCCCTTCTCCATCCCCCTGAGACCAGAGTGTGGTTCAGAAGATAGAGCCGGTGTTGGCAGCCGCTCTTCTCTGAGAAACCAAGCTCCTCTCTGAGTTGAGCATCCAGAAACCAAACAGGACAAGTGTCTGGGAGCAAGATTTCAAAGCAGAGTCAGGAGCAGAGGTGACCAAGTCCTGTAGACCGCCAGTCCAGGAAGACTCACAGAGAATGCCAGCAAGATCAAATGGGTTTCTTTTGAAGAAGGAAGGACTCGAGTTAGACTGTAGGAAAGATCTAGATGAAACCTCAGCATCGAGCTCTGATGTGTTCTGAGTCTTGGCCGTGGGTAGATGTGCAGGGGAGACCAGCATCTAAGGTGCAGGGTGTTAAGCCCTCTTCTAACCACAGCATGGACTAGGTGATTCCAAAGACTCCCACTCCTTGACCAGCTCAGGATGGTCAAGTACTATCTTTATCTTGACTCACTGACTGCATTTTCAAACCCCAAATCGAGATATGTGATCTCAAAATGATTTTTTTTAAATGGCTTCCCAGTTTGAGGGATAAAGATGTAGCTACTGAAACATGAGCAACTCTGAGCTTCTGCCCCCTGCAATGCAAATAGGATGTCCCTGCGCTGGGAATGGTGATCCTCCCTGCCTCCCTGAGGGCTCATCTCCAGCAGCAACAGCTCTAGGCTGGACCCAGGTTCAGGACTCCTGGGCCTCCTGCTCTGCATGGCAGGCTCTGGGAACCTGATTCCTGGACCAGGTCCTTAGAGAATAAAGAAAGGGTGCCACCCATGTTTAAAGAACCCTTATCTGTTGGGAAGGTCAGGACGGGCACCTGGATTTGGTGAATCTAAAGTCAGTTTTGTAATTTCAAGTTCATCAGCAGGGGACAGGCACGGTTAAACCCACGTGTCCCTTTCTCACTCTGGAGATCCTGTTTCTTGCTGCTTCCGTCCTAGGATGACTTCTGTTGATAATAAAGCTCTCACTCCCTTTGTGCCTGCAAATGTGGTGACTCTCAGAGTCAGAGTGACTGAGTCTCAGGGAAGGGTTTTGTCACAGACAATCAACATGCCGCAGAATCTCTAGGACTCCTGTCTTTGGGGGAGCTCTGGAGGGGAGGGGTGTGCTCTCTCCTGACCCAGGTCGGCCAGGAAGGGTGCTTGGCATAGCAGGGGACCAGGCTCCTCACCTGCACCCTCTCCACCCTGCCTGCCCATCTTTCTCTCCCTGCACAGCCCATGAATGCCACCTCTGCCTTTGGCCCCAACCTGCGCTACATTGTCAAGTGGCGGCGGAGAGAGACTCGAGAGACCTGGAACAACGTCACAGTGTGGGGCTCTCGCTATGTGGTGGGGCAGACCCCTGTCTATGTGCCCTATGAGATCCGGGTCCAGGCTGAAAATGACTTTGGGAAGGCCCCCGAGCCCGACACTGTCATCGGGTACTCCGGAGAAGATTGTGAGTACCTGCCCCCTCTCCCCTCCCCAGCAGGACCCTCCCGGACCGGCCCCCTTGAGGCCAGGAACCTTGAGGTGGGTTGTGGGAGGGCAGCTGGTTCCCAGGAAGTAGAAAAACCCTGCAGTGGCCCAGATCATGCAGGCACCCAATGACATCAGGAGTGGAAATGCCACCATCAAACGCGAGTTGGGATTACCTCCTGTCCTCACTTATTCCAGCTCTCACATTTTACGGATGAGAAAGCTGAGGCCCTCGAGAGAGCCAGCAGTATGTGATAGCAAATGTCGGGCTTCAAAATCGAACCCAGGTCTCCAGATCCCCAGCCAGGCTGCTGTGTGGACATGCCATGGAAAGACTTGAGGACTCTCCCAAAGAACTGGAGTGAACACCTCTGAGGAGGCAGGCCAAGGGCCAGATTCTCCCCACAGGCAGGGCAGGCCTTGAGGGATGGGGAAGTCTACAGACCTGAATGTTTTAGATCAGCCAGCTGCCAGCATTCCCAGGGCTGCTCCCAGCTCTTGGAATTGAGCATAAAGAGAATTCTTTGGAGTTGGTGCTGGGTAAATCCAGATTCTAGACAGGTACGAAGAAGGTTGGTGCCTCTCTGGACACAGCACATCAGTCCTGCTGGCTCCCAAGCAAAGCAGAGGATCAGTGGAGTCTCCTCCGGGCTCATGCTGCAGTTTGGTCAGTGTCGGATCTGAGCGCATGGAGGTGGAATGGGGTGAGCAGGAGGGAGGGAGGAAGGACAGTCCTGAGGAAGTGGACCCAGCAGGAGTGGTGCTAGGCCCAGCGTAGGGCCAGTGGTCCTCCAGCATTGCATTGGAGAGAAGTGAGGGCTGAGCCCTAGGGACATGTTGGATCAGACCCACCGGAGATGAGCAGAGGGTGGCACACACTCCCAGACAGGAGTCCAGTGGGGCCTGCTGCTTGGTAAGTGTGAACTGGGCAGCTTCCGGTCATGGGCTTCGTAGACCACCACAGGGTTTCCACTGTGTTGTCTGCACTAGGGCTTGTGCTCTGGCAGATTAGAGGGGGCGGGACAGACTTCCTTGTGTAGCAGAGAATAGAGGCAAAGGAGTGGTCCTGCCTTTCCAAGGGGCTGCAGGATCAGACTCCCTTCCCGACTGAGGTGAGGTCACCTCCAGTCTGTGGCAACATTTCTTGCTGGTAGAAAACAGATGCACACCCCAAAGGAACTACTGATTATGAGGGACAGGATTAGGGGCCAACAGCAAGGTATGTGAACCTCCTTGGAGACTAGCAACATCAGGAAGCCATTTTGCCACTCTGAGCCTTGATGGCACAGGGGATGAAGGAGTCACCATGACTCTCAAGGACCCCACCCTCAGGAGCTTGGGTACAAGAGTACAGTGCTGCAAATCTGCAGCCCAGCAAAGAGGAAGCCACCCTCCCTTTCCTCCTGCTCTGGGACCTCCTGTTGGCACCTCCTATTGGCCAGACTCATCCAGAAGCCCAAGAACAAGGAGCTCAGCTGATATGCTCCAGAAGCATGGCCTCCCAGGCCCCGGAGCAGGTGGGGGAAGGTGGAGAATGGAACAGAGGGGCAGAGGAGCCCAGCACATGAGCCTCACAAATAGTTGCTCTCTAGACATAGAGACAGAGTCCCTCCCAGCCTGAGCCTTCTCCTGCTCCTCCAAGTGTAGTCTGATGGAGGAACCATAGTCCTTGCCCTCCCGCAGTACCCAGTGTCCAGACCTAGAGTCCCAGGCCAGCCCTGCCTGTGTAACTTGCTCTCTGTCCCAACACGTTGCAGATCCCAGGGCTGCACCCACCGAAGTTAAAATCCGAGTCCTGAACAGCACAGCCATCAGCCTTCAGTGGAACCGCGTCTACTCCGACACGGTCCAGGGCCAGCTCAGGGAGTACAGAGTGAGGAAGCTGGCTCCCGACTCCACCTAACACTCGCACAATAACCAGGGCAAGGGCATAGCGGAGGCGGGGCATAGACTATTTGGAAGGGGTCCTGGGGCTGTCTGTTGGACCTAAAGTTGATTAAAGATTAGCTGCTCAAAAATACATCCACAGGGGCTCAGATTGTGGCTCAGCGGTAGAGCACTCACCTAGCATGTGTGAGGCCCTGGGTTCAATCCTCAGCACCACATAGAAATAAATAAATAAAATAAAGATATTATGTCCAACTACAGCTAAAAATACATCCAGAAAAAAAAAAAATATATATATATATATATACACTCAGTCATATGTCACTTGACAACAGGATATGTTCTAAGAAATGTGTCATTAGGCAATCTTGTCATTGTGCCAGCATCGTTCAGTACTTGCACAAACCCAGATGGTATAGGTGAGACTCTCAGTATGGCCTCTTAATGCAACAAAGGAACGCAAAAAATAGGAGGTGTCTGAAAGCGCTCTTGCCAGTGTAACGTGGCTGCTATCTTACAATCAACTTTCTTTTAATAAATAAAAATAAATAAATAAAAAGTATAAAATAATGATAAAAAGGCTAGCATGGTAAATACATAAGCCAGTAACAGCGGTGTGTGCTCCTTATCAGTCCTTTGTACTGCACTTTCAGGTGCCTGGCTGGCAGTCAATTCTTTTACCCCAGCATCCCCACAGACACGGGAGAGAGAGCTACAATAGCTAGGACATCACTAGGTGATGGTACCCTGTCAGCTCCATCATCACCTCAGGGGGACGTCGTCACACATGAGGCCCTTCACTGACCGAAACATTGTCAGGTGGCTTATGACTGTACACGCATACCCGGATGTGTCTTGCAAAAGATGTGCTGAGAAGCTCTACTGAGCAGAAAATCCCATGAAGGATGGCAGGTCTCGGTTGACACCGCACGGCACCTGTATCTGTCACATGTGTGAGTGGACACAGGTGTCTCCGTGTGCAGTGTTGAGGCACCGCTGAGCTACACCCCTCCCCTCCCGGTGGCCCCCTGCCTTGCCCAGCCTGGTCTTGGAAAGTCAGCACTAACAGGCAAAGCCACTGAAAGGGTGCAAGTGCCCTCCCTGTTGTCACAGCCAACTCTGGGTTCCCCAGAGGTCCTCAAGAGTTGGCTGTTGGACAGTTGGGGACAGGCAGAAGGGCTCAGTCTCTTCCTGGGAAATGAATTTGGCAGGTCGGGTAGGAAAGCAAGATGACGTTCCCAGGAGAATGAGCTCCTCCCTGACCATCGACTTGCACCCTTCCCTTTCCTGCTGCATATTTATCTGGCTAAAGCTCCCATCAGGTCCCCCTAAGTCTGGACTTCCTCCTTACTTTGCTGTGGGCAGCCTGGGTGACACTGCTGTGACAGCCTGACCTGTGCCTTCTTACCTGCTGTTAATAAGACTTCCGCTGCACCTTCCAACGCTACCACCTTCCTTAGCCATCCTGCCCCATCCAAGCCCTGCCACCCCGCGCCCCACTGACTTGGACCTGCAGCTGTCTCTCGGACACCTGCCCATCTCCTCCCTAAAGCCTTCAAACAACACGGAAAGAAACCATTTGAATTCAAAGGATTAAATCCTCCTCTGCTCACATTCAGATTTCCAGGTTTAACCTGCTCTTTGTCGGTTCCTGCCTGCTGTGATCTAAACTCTACTAATCTAACTCGAGGTGATGTGGTCTTCAAGCACGAGCAGAACGTTCCCTGCCTGGACCCCCAGCTCCTCTTGTGGTTCTGGCACAGATTCCTTGAGCAACATGTTACCCAAGTTGGAAATAAATCTCCCAGTGAGGCAGCCTAGATATAAGTTTGGCCAATTCACCCATTCCCCCAAATGGCATGGCTCAGAAATTGAGTGAAACCCTACTTCTTGTTCAACATAAATTCATATTCATGGTGGCCCGTGAGTGGGGACTCTAAGGTTGCTTCCCCAGGCCTCTGTGGAACTGATGAGGCCATTGGGGACTTGGAACCTGTGGCAAGCAAAGGGAAGACCGGTCACTACCACCACACTAACCACTAACCCGCTCTGAGGCCTGAGCCCTCACCTGCCTGCCTCTGTCCCGAAGGCCTACTACTGGAGGGAGAGCAGCTTGCTGAAGAACCTGTGGGTATCCCAGAAGAGACAGCAGGCCAGCTTCCCTGGAGACCGCCCCCGGGGTGTGGTGTCCCGCCTCTTCCCCTACAGTAACTACAAGCTGGAGATGGTTGTGGTCAATGGGAGAGGCGACGGGCCCCGCAGCGAAACCAAGGAGTTTACTACCCCGGAAGGAGGTAGGTCTGCCCTGCCACTCTTCGGGGTGGGCAGAACAAGGTCCGCACACCTCAGAGGACCCAGAGCAGCTCCACATGGCTCCACCCAGGACAGCACAAGGTGACCTGCGTGGCCTCGAGGAGCTGATGGTCTGCTGGCTGAGCAGCTCCGCCACTCCCACATCACGGAGGGGGCCTACCCTGATGAGAGGGTGTGTCTCAAGAGAAGCCTGGTGTGGTCAACTGAAGTGACTGCAGATGGACTCTGCAGATGGACCCAAGGGCACTGCGAGGCCAGGGCTTTCCCAACACCTGCCCAGGCAGAAGGAGCATGAGCATCCTGGCCACCTGGACCACTTGCTCACCAGCACCCAAGACGCTCACAGTCACTGAGAGCCGGCCTAAGTGTGGAGGCCCTGCGGGTGGAGGCCCTGGGGCAGCCCCTCCCTCCTGCAGCCTGCGTCTGGATCCAGTCCCGGGTGGCAGACAGCCTGGGACGCGCTGGCTCATCTCTCCATTCCTACCAGGCCTCCTTCCACTGTGCATTTGCTTTGCCTTCTTCTTATTCCCCATTTTTCTTCTTCTGTTCCTCCTTTCTCTTCTTTGTTCTTCCCTCTTGTTTTCTTTATTCCTGTCTTTCCCGCTGTCTTGGTTTGTTTTCATCATCCACCTTGGCCCGTCACTCCCGCCCTTCCCAGGTGCTGCATCCTGGGTTTCTTTCTCCTCACCCATGAACCCAGCCTTCTTGGGTCAGAAACCTGGACCTGGTACTGAGGACCAGGAACTGCACGCTTCCTACAGATCAGCTGCAGTAGGCTCCCTGCCTGGGAATGGCTCTGCCTGGTTTGGTATCTTTGCGGGACTGGAGCCTAATGTGTGCTGAAATCCAGACTCATGGCTCCCCATTTCAACAGCAGAGTCGAGCGCACTTGTCCTCACCCTTGGGCGAAACAATATCCTGGATGGGGCAGTGGGCTCTGGCCCCTAGGGTTCCTTCCAGCACCCTGGCTGCCCAAGGTCAAGGCTTTCATACTTGTGCTTTGTTTTTTTATCTTCCTCATCCTCCCTCCCCCTCCCCTTATCTCCCCTGCTCCCTCCTCCTTCCCCAAGTACCCAGTGCCCCCAGGCGTTTCCGAGTCCGGCAGCCCAACCTGGAGACAATCAACCTGGAGTGGGATCATCCGGAACACCCCAATGGGATCCTGATTGGATACACCCTCAAATACGTGGCCTGTATGTCCTGCCCCTCTCTTTCTCTGTGATAATCTGGGAGTCAGAATCCATTCTTACTACTTTTCGTAAGGAATTGAGATAGGAAGGCTGAGTACAGAGGCCTTTTGGGAGGATGGAGGGGCCAAGGAGAAAGTTCTGGAAGGGATTACAGGAGGCAGGTGAGACCCAATCCCTGCTCTCCATGCACAGATCTGCTGCAGGGAACTTCTTACCCGACAGGTGAGGTGAAGGGAACTCATCTAATGAGGGAGACCACCCCAGCCCTTAGGAACTTGTCCCCAACACCTACAGGTCTAGGAGAGAGAGTTCCTTACCCAATAAGCTGCCGTGCAGTGGGGCAGACAGTGTGTTCATAGGAGTCCACAGACCCCCTGGAGATTGATAAGAAGGTGTCATTTAAGATAAGGTGGCCATATATGAGCAGCCAAGTGACTGGAGTAAATTAAATCAGGACCCGGTCAGGAAGACCTCACCTCAAGAGCTCAGCGTCACCAGGCAGGGATAGCAATGTCATTGCACTTGAAAATCATGCAGTCTTCTACTGGAGGCGATGCTGTTTCTCCCTGGGAAGCACACAAAGGGCTGGATGTTGTGTTGTTAACAATTGCAACAGCCAGCTGTGTGCTTGGGTGCTGTTCTGAATCCATCTCTGGACCTGACCCTTCATCCTTGAGGCATAGTGAACACGCTTTTCATAAAGGAGGCGGGAACAGTCAGAAGCCCTGTGAATTGGCCTCAGCTCTGTTTAAACAGAAGAGAGGCACTCAAGAGGTTTGTATCTCTTGGGAATTATAAACTGAATCTCCCAGAATCAGCCACATGCCTTTGCAGTGAGCTAGAGACAGTAGGGTGGGTGAAGCAGCACTGGGGTGTAGTCCAGGATGAAACCAAACCTCTCTGCCTCCAAACCACACTTTGAAGATCACCAAGCAGGGCCGCCAGTTCCCTTTCCAGAAAATTAAGACTGGGTTCTTATAGGTGCAGATTACATAAACCATCACGGTAAGCATTGCTCATCTTCTATTCTACCTCTCTCTCCTCAGTTAATGGAACTAAAGTAGGAAAGCAGATGGTGGAAAACTTCTCTCCCAATCAGACCAAGTTCTCCATGCAGAGAGCAGACCCTGTGTCACGCTACCGCTTTACCCTCAGCGCCAGGACGCAGGTGGGCTCTGGGGAAGCAGTCACAGAGGAGTCTCCAGCGCCCCCGAATGAAGGTAGGTCTGTGGTGGTGGTCCTTGGGGTGAAAGACCCCAGCTAACTCAGATGCCTAGAAAAACAAACTGAGACCAAGAGGAAGCAAGACCACAAGTCCCCAAACCCCCAGTAGGAGACAACCTGTCCTACATGTTGACAGAGAGGCCTGGCGCTGTATCTGGAAAACTGATCTCCTTAGACTTGCGGTCAAATCTGGGCCCCACTTGGCCTTGACTTGCTCAGCTATTTAACATCCACCATCTTTCCTCCTTGTAGAGGAATAAGAAAGAGAATATGAGTGGAGAGGAGGAGAGGAGGGGAAGCCTGTTGGAAATAAATATGCTAATGAGCTCCAAAGAATAGTGAAACTAATTACCTATTTGGAGAAAAAGGACTATTATGGAGGGTGCCCCGGGAAAACTCTGGGACAGGCCTTCCTTTCCAAGGACCAGTGGGGCCAAAGAGGAAGGGGAAAGCACCAAGATTGAAGCCAGTTGCCCAATCCTGTGCAGAGCTGCAGCTAAGTTGTCTGACTGCAGAGAGGAGGGAGAGATGGGAAGCACCCTGTCCCACACCCTCTTCACAAAGAACAAATGAGCTCAGCTCCTGGGTCCTGGTGCAAAGCATCCCTGCCCAAGTTGCACCTGCCTCAAGACTCCACTAGAGGGGGCTCCAGGCTCACCCACACACTTACTGGCCAGAATGGGAACCGCCCAGGGATGCCAGACCCCATAAAGCCTGGGTGTTGGCAGGCCCCTGTGAAAAGGGACCTCTCCAGAAGTACAGTTGTCTATGCAACCATAATTTCTTGAACACCCATAACGTGCCATGCCAGACTGCACAAAAGTAACTTGAAATCCATACCATCTAGAGGAATCCACAATAATATCTGATTGTGTATCTAAACAAAAGAAGCGCAAGCAAAGGAGAGGGTCCTTCTGCAAGGGGTGACTCCAAAGAAGAGGTGATGTGAGTAGGCACTCTGAGGCTGACATACTGTCATGTCTAGTGTTGTCCCCAGAAGGCTTGGGTCCCGGCCTGACCCTGGCCTAAACAGGGTCTGCTGAGCCCCTCCCCTCCCCTGCCTAGGACAGCATCATACTTCCTGCTGGGGCTGCCAGGCCCTGCTGTGTCTGCTGCCCCACCCAGGCTTCCTGGGTAGCTGCATCAACAGCCCCATGTCCCTCACTGGCCAGCAGGCCTGTGCTGAGGCGGGGGAGAGGGACTAGGCAGGCGCCAGAGGAGAATCTGCAGGCTCTCTGGTCTTTACATCAGGAGTGAGTCACATAATAATAACCCATCCCCAGGTACTTTTCTAAGCCCAGACTCGGGGCGTTTTCTAGGCTGGGGATTTTAAGGTAAGTAACTGTTGTAGCCTATTACCAAAGGCCAGACCATAATGCACTTTCTCCACAGTTGCGTTTGGAGCTGTATTGGAGCTAAACTGGGGAGAGCCACTCCCCAACTCACACCTCCATCTCTACATAGGGCAGCAAACAAAGCCCCATTGTCCAGCTCCAGGGAAAGTTCTGCAACCCCAGGGGACAAGAGAACAAAGAGAGACTTTCTTCTCAACTTGGGAGATCTTCAGAAAATTCAGGGATTTGTTTTAGGACTCTCAGTCCATGCTTGGGTTTCTGATTTCATAAAATACAACTGGTGGGAAAGAATTACGGCAGCAGAATTCCAGGACAAGGGGTCCATGACTCCCTGTGCTTTGCAAGAATGAAATGGAGAGGTGGGAGTGGTCAACCAAATATGCTCTCCAACTCCTGTCAACCCCGAAACTATGCAGCATCTTCCCGAGATGATATAGAAACCATCCCTTTTGACTGGGGTTGGTGCCTGCTGCACCACCTATACCTTATGCCCTCAATTCTAGGCATCTTAGTGTCCCGGGTAGGGCAGGACACATCCTTAGAGAAAAAGCTGGGGACTTAGTATTCTGAATGGACTATCCCTACTGCCACCTCTTAGATGACTACTCATAGAACAGGGGTAGAAACAGAATGTATTAGAAAGGTCTCCAAGACCAAAGTGGGAAGGTAGGAACATGCCTAACTCTAACGGGGTTGACCATGACCCCCACATGCCAGTTGGCATCCTCTGGGCAGCAGCTACTGCCTGGCCACACCTTCTGGGTCAGGTATGAACCAGACTTCTCTGCTTGCTTGGCCTGTGGTTTCACCTGTACTCTGTTTTCTCTTCCCTTTCTCATCCTCTCTCCCTCTCTCTGGCCATCTTGGGTGCTGTGTCTGAAGCCACTCCAACTGCAGGTACCGTACCAGCAGCCGAGGTAATGGGCATGGCATGGGGCAGTGCAGGCAGAGCCTAGCCCAGCCAGGAGGGAGAGGCTGAAAGCATGCTGCAGACTCACCCTTTCAGGGTTGGGGAAGCCAGACTTGAAGGAGCATAGGCCAGGGGAGAGCTCCATGTTTCCCCTCTACTTCCTGTTTGTCCCCTCCTGGGAAGGCAGGGCCCACGCAGGCTCCCAGCCTGCCCTCTGAGCTGCACTGTTCTCTGAAGCTGAGTGATTATCTCCCATGAACCCCCTGAGCCCTTACCTGGGCTTGGCATCTCAGAGCACAGAGATGGCCCTAGAAGGCAGCAGGATCGGGGGCAGCTGGCTCCTGGCTCCTGCTCAGGTCACCCACCATTCCCTAAAAGGGTGAGCACGCTGTGCATGCCTGTCTTGCATGCTGCATGGGGGGCCCAGCACCAGTTCTAACAGCTACCGCGGGTTCTGGTCAGTGAGAACAAGCGAGCATGTCCTTGGATAGGGCCCAGTGCTCCAGGACCTGGAATATACTGGGCACTGTGGGCTGATCACCCCTCAAACAACAACCTTCTCAAAGTCTTGAGCAGCAAGAACAGCCTCCACTCTCGGGGTCTGGGAGGTAAGACTACAGCAGAAGCCAGGAGCTGACCTGCTAACCAAGCTCCTCCTTGGGTCCTCATGTCATAGGTTTGAGGACCATCACAGGGCTCTACACCATAGGAGGCCTGTCCCCAAATTGGAGGAACTAGGTAGGGGACACCAGGGTTTCTTTCCTGGCCCTTCTCTGAGCCTGATTTGTATCAGGTGGAGCTCCAGGCAGCTGGGGAGAACAGAAACTCAGGCAAGGAATTCGAGGCTTGGCTTAGAAAGAGAATGTCACCTTGCCTGATTTGATTTCCTTCCCACTTTCGTTCACTTATTCCCCCACCCCCTTTCTAGGTTGGTTCTATTTCTGTTGCATATCCCGCTTCCTTCAGTTTATGTGTTTTGCCAGCCAGATCTGTAGGTGGTGACCAGCCATCCATCATCCCTCCCCTCCTTGAGTCCTCTCCACCACCCTGCCCCCAGTAACCTGGGCCAGCTGGGGCCCAGTGCCTCCCCACAGGGTCTGGACACCTCTGCTAGCATGCAGAACAGAGGTTTCCAGGGCGTGACAGAGCCATCCTGGCCACGCTGGGGGTTCCCCTGACTTTCAGATTCAAGTCCATATGTGAGTTTCTTTTGTGACTATGATAGCAGGTGCTCAGGGCAGCAGGGAGAGCCGGGCAAGTCAGCTCAAAGCTCATTGGTCAAGCCGCTCCCCATGCACCTCCCCAGTTCTGGCACCAGGACCCAAGGCAGGTGGGTCCGGCAGCAGGGAGTCTGCCCTGGTCAGTGGACATCTGTGCTAGTCCAGCCTGCCCTCTTGTGAGTGGCAATTGTGAAGGGGCTGAGAGGTGTCCTTCCCAACACTCCAGCTTCTTACTTTTGTTTAGAAAAGACCCAAATGCATGCATTATGCAGAATGAGCTCAGGGTCTCTGTCCGTCAATCAAATGTGTTTCCTAGGCTCCGGTTTCCACATGAAGTGGTGGTGGAGGCAGATTGCACTTGGTTGCAAATGTGATATGCTGATATCAAATGTTCTCAGCTTTACATACATAAGAACCTTCTGCACCATCAGTAGGTGCCAAGCAATAGAGCTCAGGTTCTAAATTTTTATGTGGGCTCCGCGTCCGGCCCACCACCCTCTTGCCTCTCATCCTCTCCAAACCTGGGCGCTCTTCCCCAAAACTGATCTGTTCCCTATCTCGCCCAGTGACAATAATCCCTCTCATCCACCTGTATCTTCAGTCTGTTAGGATTTCTGCCCATCTGTCTGACAGTCTGTGATTTGGCCAGGGTAGTTTGCACACCATGTGGACGTTTTTGGACTGAACATCTACCTTGGAATGTCTGGAAACTGCTGTCCTTGTCTTTGACTTGCTCAGATCTGCAAATGTTGGGTGGGCTCCTAATGGGTGCTCAGCTCCATGGCAAGTGTGGGCACAGAAAATGAATGAGACAAGGCATTTCTTCTCAATTTTCTCCATCTCCTACACAGTGCTCCCCAAACCTGGTGGAAAACCATGAGTCGTAGCTGGAGTGCCTTCCAGTATACCGGAGCCCACCCTTGGGGTTGACACTGCCTTGGTTCTGGTAGGGGACCTGTGTGTAAGCTCCAGATTGCCCTAGGGTGCCCTTAGGTAATGGAGGGTCTCTATTCCCTCTTCTTGTTTGCCAGGCCAGGTGGTCTCCACTGAGCACTGGTCAGGATGATTTCCAAACCCATAGTTTCTCTTGTGGCTAAAAAAAATGACATTCAAACCAGGGATGTGCCTGCCTAGCACTTGGTCACTCATTTTATAAGCCAGCCCCACTTCGGGGCATCATTGCCCTTCCGTCCTCTCCCCCAGCTCCTCCCAGTGGTTGAAGTGTTCTGAATTCCCTTTGACCTGAGCAGTGGACGTTTTTCCCATAGGAAGCGTGTCTCTTCTTGCCCACCTGTCCCAGCCCTCGGACAGCCCATGCTCCCAACTCTGCTCTGCCTCCCTCGGCCTTTCCTTCTTGCCTCTGCTCTCCCTGTCCCCAGTGGCCCTGTCCAGTCTGGGGACAGTAAACAGAGGAATGGATGGATCAGAGGTCACTTTGATTCGCCAGCTGTGACCTCAGCCTGCTGAGGGTGTGTCCTCACATAACAGAGAGCAGGCATCCAGGGAGGCTGCCTGGGCAGTGGCTGCCGTCCCCTCTCCCTGTGTATTCCCTCTCACGAACACCCTGGGACTTTTGCCACTGAGCAGAGGGAAAGCAGCTAGGTGGGCATCAGCAGAGAGAAAGTGATGGCAGAAGTGGCCATTAGAGGGTGGACACAGATGGTGTGGAAGCTTCCCCAGAATCATGGCCTACCTTTGTCTCTGGCCAGCAGTGCCAAGTGAGGACATTCTCTGGTCTCTCTCAGGATCTCTGTCCCCAGGGCTCTGGTTAGAATGTCCTGTGGGAGCTGTGGGGGTGTGAACGTGGATGTCTCTGTAAAGAGCCAAGGACCGTGTGTGTGTGTGTGTGTGTGTGTGTGTGTGTGTGGCTTTGGGGCAGGGTGAACTTAGTTTCGAGGGCCTGAGGAATGTACAATCACTGCACCTGTCCCTGAACTACCCAGCGTGGGGTCATTCAAGTTAAAAAGGGAGCAACCCTGAGAGGGTCAGCCTCGCGGGTCCTTCTGGTTTGTGTGTTTGTGTGTGTTTGTGTGTGGGTGTGGGTGTGTGTCCCCATGTCCCTCCTCCCATGCATTCCTGAGCTGACTGGACTTGGGGACCATAGTGTTGTTGGCTTTGAACTTGCCCAGGAATCCCTGAAATGCGTGGGGCATAGTCCACTCTCCAGTGTGATTCCTGTGGTCAATACCCTCAGCACCGAGTGACACCTCTGATCTTAGAACCGGAAAGCAGTGGAACCCCAGGAGCATTCCCTCCCTCTCTGCTGAGAACTTGTAATACTGAAGACCCAAGGGAATGAAAGGGCTTTTGTTGGTCAGGCCCTGGTTGAAGAGTTCAGGGTCACTTGATTCTCGATACAGAAAACCCTTCCAGCAATTCTTGCTCTGGCTTCCCCTGGCCTAGCCCTCTTCTGTGGGAGTGGGAGAGACAGGGGTTATTATTTTCCTGAACTTCTAGAGATACAAGGGAGGGAAGGAAGTCACTATTCCTTGAGAGAGTTATCTTTTTATGCCTAAGGTCTCTATCTGCTGCCCCATTAACGTCAACACTATTAAATGGGCCATGATCAGATCACAGGAGATGGAGTGCAAGGCAGAGAGATAGCTCTGTGTCTTGGATTTGCACCCATCATTCTTCTTACACTCTCAGTTTTTGAATATTGAAATATTGAAACTGGAGAGTAAGGATAGGGTAACACTTTGTTAGCTTCCATGGCCCTTCTAGAGAAGGAAGTTGGATCCTTGAAGAAGTAGTCACGTGTATATAATATATAGATGTAGGCCCCCAGCACTGACTGATAGCCAAAGATTGCTTTGGATGGGATCTGGGGGTACTAGAAAGTGAACCCGTGTTGAACCACCCTGTGCCCCCACCTTGTGCCCCAGAGGGAGACTTAGGCAGACAGGACACCCCCTGGCGGCTGGGATTTGTGTCTCCTGCAGGCTGGGAAGATGGTGCTGCCCAAGACAGATCCCATTAGTGCCCTTTTCCCAGGTTCTGACATGAACAGGAGAGACTTGGGGTACCTGTACCCCAGATTTCCTAGAAAGAAAAGCAGTTAGCTGAAGTCAGGGTAATTGAGGTCATAGGGGGAAGGGTCATCATTAGGCAGAGGAGGGAAAGGGGGAGAGGGAGGAGAGGCCAAGGACAACAGGAAGAGCTAAGCCTGGTGGCTGAGAGTAGCAGGCAGGCGCAGGGAGCTGCAGATGGAGCTTGCAAGGTTCCCTCGCAGAGTGGGGACTGTTCTCGGTCCCATTGGCTGTGGGCGGCTGTTTGAACTAAAGCAGGCATGACAAAGGGTGATTTGGGAGTAAAGGGCTGGGAATGGCAGGCTGCTCTGTGCCCCTGCAGGACAGGGCCCAGCCGCCTGCACACCTCAGAGGAGATTGGGGCTCCAGGGCTGGACCCAACTGGTGCTGCTTGGTTGTGTGTCTGGATGGCGTTTGGCCTGGGACTCCGTGCTACCCTGGGCCTCAGCTGGGTGCATGCCGGGTGCTTCGACCACACAGACCATGAGAAGAAAATGAAACGCACCCAGGCTTCATTCTCTTCCTTTCCCATGGTTGTGTTTCCGCTGGCCGACCCGTCGGGGCTGCTCGTTTCGCTTGGGGAGGCTTCCATCTCGAAGCCCCTCCCCTGGCGCCCTGCCTCACGTGCACGCGGTGGGGCTGTGCGTGCAGGGGGCGCAGCCAAACCAACCGGACTCGGCTGTTCTGCATTTCCCTCTCAGCTCCTCCCACGTTGCCCCCAACTACTGAGGGCGCCACAGGCGCTGTGAGCAGTACTGATGCTACTGCCCTTGCCGCTGCCACCGAAGCCACAACAGTCCCCATCATCCCAACTGTGGCGCCTACCACCATCGCCACCACCACCACCACCACCGTCGCCACAACCACTGCCGCCACCACCACGGAGAGTCCTCCCACCACCACCACCACCACCGGGACTAAGATACAGGAATCCGGTACTGCTGCGTACTGCCCCTGGTCCCCTTGGGGCCCACCTCCCTAGTTGTCTTAAGAGAGCAATCACAGCTGGGAAGTGGGATCTGGGGCAGGGTGTGCCTGTAGCCTAGGGGCCCAGAGCCCCCACACACATACTGCCCCTGCTTGGGTGGTCCTGCACCTGTGGGGCACTCCATGCACTTCAACAGAGGTCTCAGCGCCTCATACAGGACCCCACGTCCAGCTCTCCAGAGGGGACTTAACACAGCTGCCCTGAGAGCTTCTGGCTCCTGCCATGTCTGTGCCCAGCCTTGCAGAATTGAGGCCATGGAGCAGAAAGTGACTGGCCACGCCAGGCAGCTCCGTTCCTAGAACCCCACTTTCCTCCTAGTCTCTCTTTCCCCAAGGAACTCTTGGAGACATTTATTTTTAAAAGTCAGAGCTTCCAGGGAATGGTATTGCCAGGTTGTCCCATAATGCCCAAAGTGAGCTCCATGTCTCTTCCTGTCCATGTCTCCTACATCCCCAGATGCATGCCTCGAAGGGAAACTGCAGCCATTCTGGGAGCCCCTGGTCAGGATGGATCCCAGGGCTGCACTGTGGAGCCAGGAGAACATGCAACTCTGCATCCCTCCGCCAGCCAGGAGGCCCTGCTCTCCAGCCTAGGTGATCCTAGGGGATGCAGCAGGGCTTCTGAACATGAGCATCAGTCTTTCCTTAGCACCTAGGGGAGAATCTCTAGTCTCCTGAGCCCTTAGGCCAGCTATCAAATCAGCACAAGGCAGCTGATAAGGCTGGCCAGACGCCCCCAGAACTCTCCTCCAGCAGTCCCAGGCTAGCACGTCCTCCACCCCAAGGCTTCACTGCCTCCCAACTGACCCTCTTCTCTCAGCCCCCTGAAAGAGCATGGAGGCTTGATGTGCGTGTATTTGTTTCAGTTCAATTGCATGGTGTTAAGTGAGTAGTGAGGAGAGACTGGTAATCTTGAAACCACCAATTCGCTCTATCCACGCAATATCTAGCATTTAAGCAGTACTCACTTGAGGAGAAAGTTGCCTGAGGAGAAACTTGCTAGGCTATTAGAGGTTGTGGTCAGCAACTTAGTGATTGTTCTCTGGTGCCACATTGAAGCATCTTTGTCATTGAGTGCTTTGAACTCACAGAAGAGGTGCGCCAAGGAGCGGGGAACAGTGAATCTTGCTCCTGGCAGTTACTTGCCCTCTGGGAAGATAGGCCTGCCTCCCAGACCTGGCCCCACGACTCACACCCAAGTTTTTAACCGTGGTCTGAGATGCTGCAGAGGGCCTGGCCATGGTGCTGATCTTCTCTCGAGCTGGGGACACTCCTCAAGCATCCCCACTTCCCTTGATGTGGCAGAACGGCTCTGCCACCCGGGATGTTTGAAATCAGTTCTCGTCTTTATCTAATCTTACATCCTTGAACAAAATTTCTCATTCAGTTTTCTTTTTTCAGAGTGAAAGGGGCCTTTATGTTTGTTCTTAACATGTCCCTTTCAGATTTCAGGGACACTCCCTAACTCAGGCCAGGAGTCAGTGGAAGGATGAGGGTGTCTCCTCTCTTGCCCTTTTTCCCCCTAATTTGTTCTTTTAGATAGACATGTCAGTAGAGTGTATTTTGACATATTATGCATACATGGAGTATCATTTATTCAATTAGGATCCCATTCTTGAGGTTGTATGTGACGTGGAGTTTCACTGGTCTCTGGGTTTTGGTTATTGAGGGCTTGCTTTCTTGGTCCTTCTCTTTGAACTTTCCAGTTCTTTAGTGGTCAGCATCTTGACCTCTCTGTGTGGCAATGCCTTACTTCCATTCCCATCTCCGAATCATTTTGTTTCCCACTGCGGGATCTTTCCTAAAACCCGCCCCCCTCCCCATCTTTGTACCCTGGAAAATAGTCAGATTTAGGTCAATGTTATACTGGGACCAAACGCAAATACTCTATCTATTTTACAGGGTCCCAAGCTAAGGAGGAAAAAACTCAATTCCTTAAAACATGGCTCATCATGAATTCATTCCCACTAGCAAGAACCATCAAATTCCAAAGAGCTGGGATTTGAAGGGGCTTAAAGCAGCCAGTACAATTGAAATATCTGGCAGACAAGTGGCAAAGCCTACCTCTGCCCTCCCTATGAAGAGTACCCTCAGGTGTCTTCGTGACACCTCTTTTTTGGTCTTCACCTAACATGCCTCATGTTCACCTGGGGCAAGCTGCCACCTGACAGGGTTGTAGTAGAAAAGAGACTTCTTTGAAGTGAAAAAAAACAGGAAGTCTTTTATCACTTCTCCAGCCCTTCAGACTCAGTCACATGTCAAATAGATAATGAATAAATGCATCCCTGATGTACTCTATTCATTTATTTTTGACAAGTGAGTTGGTGACAGTGCCCCCTTGCATGCTAATAAAATATACAGAAGCCACCCTTGTAAAGTCTTTGAAATACAAGGCTTCATGCTAGTCCTCCACTATTAAATCTTTGCTGGAAAATGGGGTAATCAGACTGCTGGGACTCTTGAAAAGTGATTGCATTTGAAGATTAGTGCCATTCTTCTGTTCGTAGGCTATGGTTTCAGACAGCGCCATGGCTTTGATAAAGTAGCTCCCAGCTCATAGGGGCTAGATAATTAATGTCCTCTGTGTTTCAGAGAGATCAAGCCTCAAAGACTCTGTGGGGCTGAGAAGCCAACCGAATGGTGTTCTTCTAGTGCCCGGATCACCGAGGGTTGGAGGGTTAGGTGTCAAGGGGTTCTCTTCTCTTGGTCCCATCTAGTCCCTGACAGAGAGAAGAAGGATTCATACTGTCTGTGCTTGGGACCCAAGGTTCTAAGCCCCCAGTCACCATAGGCAATCGGGGGTGGTTGTGTGTGGCATCCAGGGTCTCACTGACTGAGAACAACTCCAAGTCGCTTATCTGGATGACCCTTGTCCTACTCCAGTTTAGAAGCCCAGTAGGGTTTCCCCATATTCGATCTCGTCCTTCCTACACATTTCTTTGTGAGTCTTTCTTGATTTGGGGAGCAGTAAATGCTAGGGATTGAACCCAGGGAGAACTCAAACCCACACCCTAAGTTAGTGCTCTACCAAGGAGCTGCACCCCCATCCTTTCTTGCTGGACTTTCAAAGACAAGCCTCACCTTCCTGTAGAACTTCCATGGTTGAAAGAAAAAAAACAGCACGTCTCCCACTCTTTTGGCATCCTGACCAGAGACCTCATTCCTGGCCTCTTTCCTGGCACTGCTCAAATCCATGACAAGGAATGTAAAAAGGAAATAAGCCCAGGTTACAGTCTCCAACAGTGTGGATCAAAACCCACTCTTCATGCCTAACCCCGCCAATGTGGATACATAGACAGCTCTCCTTCCCATTCAGGTCCTCCTGACTGCTCCCGCTCGTTCCCGGATGGCTGCTTCGGGCCTGGCCACCAAGGCTGCAGCTTGGAGCTCCTTTGGGCCCTGTGCACAGCCATGTTTGACTCTTTCCTTTTCCAGCTGTGTGTGTGTGCGTGTGTGCGTGTGTGCGCGAGTACATGCTGGTGTGCATGTGTGTCTCGGTGTCTCCCACGCTGCCAGCCTCCTCATCACTAATGCCTCTTCTAACCTGCCCACCAGCCCCCGATGAGCAGTCCATATGGAACGTCACGGTGCTCCCCAACAGTAAATGGGCCAACATCACCTGGAAGCACAATTTCGGGCCCGGAACTGACTTTGTGGTTGAGTACATCGACAGTAAGCATTGATGTGTGGGGAGGTGGTGGCGGCTGCAGTGGCTCTTAGTGGTAGATGCCATTAAAGAGATCCTGTGAAGTCCCCCAGGCTCAGAGAGGCCTTTTAGCCTGGCTTAATTATAGCTTAATGAAATCAATATGCGTTCAGGCGGCAGAGAGGTGGGAGGAGTGGACTGAAAGAGAAGGTAGGGGCTTTCAAAGCCATTAGTGAAGGCCTCCAGTTGCAAGTACTATGGAAGACCCGGGCAGCCGAGCCCTCCATCCATTTCCTGCCCAGGATGAGGGTTCTCAGTCACCCCAAAATAAGCCAAAGCTCACCTCTGTGTTGATGTCCTAATGTGTATCCTGATGGCTTCACCAGATAGACCAGGCCAGTTCACAGACTTGGGCTCCAGCTGTGTTTTGTTTACAGCAGAATGCCAGAGGGCCACAGTCAGAGACAGGAGCCAGAGCCCTGTGTCCCAGAGAGCTGGTGACAAGCTGTTTGCTCTTTTTCCTAGATCTTGGGACCAAGGAACAGATTGGTTAGACTACAGAGCACGGTCAGGACATCCAGCCTCTCTGAGTGGAGGCCCCTGGTCCTGTGGGGTCAAACCCTACCCCTTGGCTTCTCAAGCATGTGCTCTAAGCAGCTAAGCCACACGCCAGCCTTAAGACCCACCTGGGATGGCCCACCCAAAGCTCTCTTGGGAATGCCAAGCCAACTCTTCACTCTCTGTATCTGGAGGATACAGTATCTGGAATCCACAGTACCTGGAATCCTCTTGTTTGGTCCATATAATTTTTCAGCTTGGCCCATGCGCGCCGCCCCCCCACACACACACACACCAACACCATTTGCCCTGCAGCGCAGACACAGGTGCTTTACCTGGTGTGTGATTTTGCCACTTGCTGGGACACGAGAGGTGAAGCCAGGAGTGAGAGCCAAGGAGAGTCAAGGACTCTTCCTGTCCCATCTCCAATAACCATAAGGGATGCTGACTGGCTCTCTGGCCTCACCAGAAAGATCCCACTTGGAAAGTGAATCACTCCGGGGCAGTGGAGTGTCCACCAACATGCTGAGGATTTAAGCAGGTCATGGTATGTTTAGCGCTAAGACTGTGGTGAGGAAGGAGAACTATAAGAGGAAACAGTGTCCTTTGTGGAAGGGGCATCATGGAAGAGAGAGCGCTAGCATTGCATGGACAGGCACGGGGGAGCCAGCTGTCTGGTTCTCTCCTGGTCTGTACAGTGGACTGGACCCGCGGTCCCCTCGCCCTTTTCTACCTTTGACAGGTGACCAGGAAACTAAGCACTGTCTCTCCAGCTCCTGGTGCCTGGCTTTAGGCTGACCAAGATTTCTATTCCCCAGGCAACCATACGAAAAAAACTGTCCCTGTTAAGGCCCAGGCCCAGCCTATACAGCTGACAGACCTCTATCCTGGGATGACGTACACATTGAGGGTTTATTCCCGGGACAACGAGGGCATCAGCAGTACCGTCATCACCTTTATGACCAGTACAGGTGAGAGGGGAGCTGGCCTGGCTGTCCCCTGAAAGCATGAGGCATTTCATCCTCATCCTCTACTTCCGGCTTGCCTTTTCTCCCTGGAAAGAAGATTCATCTCTGCCTGATTCCCCACCTTGCATGGCATGTGTAAGTTCCCCAGGAAGCCAGAGGAACCAGGTGTGCATGCACAGCCAGAAGTAAACTGATTCTGGGCCCCTGGGGCTGAGCGGGGATCCAAGGAAACAAAGGACTGTATAATGAAGACAGGGACTGCGTGGTCCCCCCTGCAAAGCCCAAAACAAAAGGGCTTAGTGTATATGCAAACTGTGGTGTGCTCCTCTGGGGGCTGTTGGGAGTCAGGCCGCCTGCCCCAGGTGTTCAGGGGCTGCCTCCTCCATGGGGGATTAGGGCACAGGGCTGTCACAGGGACTTGATCCAAAAATCTCTCCAGGAACCCAAGCAGGGATCAGCGTGTATGTTTACTGTCTTGCCACCATCATCTGTCAAGAAAAATTCCAGTGCGTGACACAACTTGTTTAAGGCTTTGTTTTGATTTCATTTTTGTCCCAATTTTGTCTTACCTAAAAATAGGTGACTTTTTGTCCTGCTAGGGGAGGGGAGGAAGCTCTTGCTCTGTAGAGGCCTCTGCGGCGCCTGGAGAAGAATCTTTGTTGTGTTAAATGAACAGGCTGATGGGTGGGGTGGCTCGGGGAAAGGGCTGGGGTTCAGAAGTCTGTCTGCTGGAGGGGTGGCTGGGAGCCTGGTGGCCTTGCGGACTCTTGGGTTCGTGAATAGTTTTCAAATCAGCCAGGGGCAGCTAAGTGGCCTGTATGCTAAGCTCTGAGAGAAAGGGTATTTGTGGGGGTGGGAGGAGAGATTAAGAGAGAAAAGGATCAGCCCCTGACTCTAGGGATGTTCTAATCAGATGCAGGATATTAGATGCATAGGGAGGAAAATCACAATGATTTATATGAATTTCTGAACATTGACTTGAATATTCATTACCCTCCCCGTGCCTGGCCCAGCAAGGCTGATTTTGCAAGCTTGCATCTTGGGAGTCACTGCCCATCTGTATATCTGTCTCCCCCCAACCCTTTCTAGCCTGGTCCTTCCAGATCTGTCCTCCTCCCCGTGCCTCCGCCTGTTATGCACATTTCCATGCCACTGAGACTCAGGGAGTCTGGCTCCTCGCTTGGGGCTAGCTGGGCCAACTCTGGCAGGATATCTGAGCAGCCCGGCTGTCCTGTCACAGGGAGCCAGGCAACTGGACAGTTGACCAAGCGGAGCAGGTGGCTGGACTCTGACCCAGTTGGGGTCCTGTGCTCTTGCTCATTGGTGCATGCATTTCATTTCATCGTACTTCATTATAAATTTGAGTCCAGAACAGGGGCAGGAAGCAAAGATGATGGTTGGGAACAGAGGCCCGCCCTAGGGAATGCTTCGAAAGCCAGCGCAGCCTGCTCTTTCAGAGTTTAGCCTCTCCGGATGCTAAGCTCTGCCACTGTGGGTGAGGTTAGGGAGAGAAATCCAGAGAGGAAAGGACCCAGCAGGTCCTGGCCCTGGGAGTATCCTGCTCTGTGTCCAGGTAGTAGGCAGACAGTACAGAAAGAAATTGCAGCGACTTCTTCCACAGCCAAAGCCCCTATTTCTGAATGTTGACTTAGAGACTTATTTCTCTTTGCCTGGTGGATCTTATTGCCTGCTTTCAGAACAACTGCCACATCTTCCAGACTCTTCCCCATACGCTGGAGCAGGCAGGCTCATGACCCTAGCTCTGAGTTCGTATTGCTCATTTCCCTCCCAGGCTTGCTGGAAATTACTATGTGCAAACCGCATGGGGAGAGAAAATATTTTCACTTTCCAAAGTCTGTGTGTGCCTGTTAGTGTGTGTATAAATCCTTCAGAAATGCATACTGTTTCCTGTGGGTGGACTCCAGAAACAAGTCCACACAATCCCCCATATCCTCATGTTTCATCAAAGCAAATTTACAAGCATCTCTGGGCCCCAACCACTGGTCATTTAGGCAACCACAGGCCGTCGTCACTTTAGTCAGCAGAAGCAACATTCTGCAGTAGTTCTGGAAGGAAATGGAAGGAAGGAAACCCACTGGGAATGCTACTGGGCTCTCCAGCCCTCACCAAAAAGATCCCATTGGGATGTTAATCACCTCCTTGAAGCTTTTGAAACCAAAGAGACGTGAGGTGTTGCAGACACATAACCTGGGACCCTCAGAGGGACCCTTAGAGACCCATTGGCCCTTTGCAGCTAGGTGTATGTGGGGGGGGGGGGGGCAGGCAGCCTTCCTGTCCTGTGGTGGTTGGTGGGGATGGGCCAGCAGTCAGGTCTGCTCTGACCCCAGGAAGGCAGGAGGGACTACAGAACAGGGAAGGAGGGCATAGAGGGGTATACAGTGGTGCTTACGTGACCGCAGCCAAGCCACATGTATGTGAGGAAAGGCTATCTGTTATATTTGTTTCTTGACCCCTGGTCCAGAATTCTGCTGACTTTGGCTGACTGGCCTATCTTCTGTAGCCAATCAAATTCCTCCCAGCTAGACACAGGAGTTGGTGGAACCGCCTCTTTTGCAGGTGTAGTGCTTGTGTCTGACTGGGTTGGGGAAGTGGTGGGGCTTGACACTGAGGCTTTGGTCCAGAGCGAAAGACATTTGGGCCTACACTGGCTGGGTGCTATTCAGGCTCCCATCACTCCTGGCTGAAGGTGGTGGTGTACATGCACCAGCTCCTTGAATGTTGACAGCATTGGCCCTCAAACCAGCATAGCAGATTGATTGAGGATAGCCTGGGTAGTCAAGTGTAACTGCCTGGGAGCCTTGCTAAAATCCTTCCTCTCACAGCCCAAGCCATGGGGTCACCTTCCAAGTGAGGTCATTAAATCCTAAATTTCTTTTGGTTCTTGAGAAATTAACTCATTTTGATGGGGTGTAGTTGGGCCCACATACCCCACTTGGGGTATGTGAGGCATATGCCATCAGTGCCTTCTATGTCATAGGAAATTCTTTGACCCTTCAGTAAGGACTGAAGGTATGCTTGAACTCACCTGGTACTGTCCGGAGTGGAAAGGTATGTTTGCTTTCTAAATTGCCCATGTGGCCACTTTGCCTTGGAATTGTGACTTGGAATATCATGGAGATGGCAGCCAGAGGATAAGAATAGGCACCAAGAAGATGGCAAAATCAACTTCTCTGCAAAAAATATGTGCCACTGTCCAAACACAAGTGAAGTGATTGGTCTACTAGGGCCTGGTGTGTGGGCAAGCCAGCATAAATGTGACCCCTAGGTGGCATTAGGGGTAAAACCTAGAGCAGGATCCCAGGTTAACTGTATTACATTAGGATTACATGTAGTCATTGATCTCTTTTATTTGACCAGCATCATGCTAAATACTAGGGGGCTCAAGAAGATCCCCTTTTCTCAAGACTTTAATAGTACAATTAAGATCCAGCAAACAGGACAATTTAATGTTACATTTGTGTGGAATAGTTGGGAGCCATGTCAGAGTCCAGAGATGGGGTGAGTTGGAGCAACGGAAGGTTCAGGAAGGAGGTGGAAAACGTGGAAAGTTGGTGAGCTGGAAGAGGGCGGCCCAGGCTCTCTTGGGTAGGATGGGCAGAAGCACAGAGAGGGAGACTACACAGCACCCTGAAGGCCAGGCTGGGGTGGAGAAGGCAGGTGGCATTACCGCGAAACATCCTAGAGCATGATATAATGCCTCACTGTCTCCACTGGCACTGGGGGCATGATGTGAGGGGACCCCTCTAGAATGGACGGTGAGGTGGATGGGAGAGAGCACTGGCAGCCATTAGAGGGGGCAAGAGTGGCAAGTCACTGGCGGGGGCGGGCAGTGAGGCACATGCCATCAGTGCCACCAGGAGGGAGCTTTGGGCTCACAGCTGTGGAGTTGGCAGCAGGGACAACAGAGAGATGAGTAAGAGGGCTGCCAGTTGGAAAGTTGGAACCAGTCCCGTCATAGGTAAGAGGCAGGGAATGGAGGGCGGCTGGGGAGAGGCGGGCTTGGCGACGGAGGCTTGAGGTCAGCTTGTGGGGTTGAAGAATGGACCGGGCAGGAGCTGGCCCCACGGGAAATGGAGGAGTTCCCCTAAATAGGGCCACGCATGAGCTGGGGCTGGAAGGCCTAGCACGCTCCTCAGGGTTGTTAAGACACAGGAAACCTCAACAAGTTTAACAGACGGGAAGGAAACGGCGAAGAGGAAGAAAGGGAATGTGATACCAGGGTGTTCAGAAGTCTTTGCAGGAATGAAGGACCAAGGAAGGCAACACTGGGTCCCATTTATGTGGCAGGGGAGGGAGTTTGGGGGAGAAGGGAGAGAAGAGGATCCTGCCTCTGGTACAGGAGGAGGGGACAGCTGCAGAGGCTTCAAGCTTCCAGGGTCCCCAGAGTGTCCGTGGAATACGGGAGGTCAGCGCAGATGTGGGCAGACGGCAGTCAGAGCCGCACGAGGGAGAGGGAGGACAGGTTCTGGACACACAGCTGTTGGGCTGGCTGGAGGGACAGAGAGAGGAATAAAAGGATTGCCAGGTGGCAGCAAAGTCCAGCTGAAGAATGACAAGTGAATCCCCAACAGGCCTGGGCCTGCGTCTCCCTCCAGCTGGGCTCTGGAAGAGCTGAGATGAAGTCAGAGACCCCCTGCCAGGAACTGGGAAGGACAGGGTGGAGTTTAAGGTGGACAGTGGCCCCTCAGGCCAAGGGGTGGGGCGCTGAACAAAGGCAAGAAGGTCAAGGGTTCCTCTTCCAAGCAAATGGCAGTGGAGCTCCCCCCACACACTAGGCTCTGCCTCCAGCCCTGGGGAGACCAGGCTAAGCCCCACCCCTGAGCCTATTTTCTGGGGAGAGGCACAGGGTGGAATGGCAGAGCACAGACTCCCAGGGCCAGACAGCTTGGGGTCACATCCTAACCCTGACAGTTACTAGCCCCCCAACCTTGAGTAAGTCGTTTAAACTGTGCCTCCATGTCTACCTCTGTAAAATAGGACAAAAATTAAAACTTGCCTAATGTATGAGGTTGTGGTGGGATGGATTAGATAATATGTGGGAAAGTGCCCAGAACGGTGCCTAGCCCTTGAAGTGCTTATCAGTATAAATGAATAGTAGTAATTTGTCAAATGGTTACAAGTGCTATGGAAAAGATAAACTAGAGCTTTCTGATCAAGAGTGACTATGTGGGGGTGGAGGAGGGGGCCTTTGCCAAAACTGGGGAAATCCAGGAGGGCTGTCCTTAGGGACTCTCCAAGGCAGAAATGACCAAAGCCAGTGTGGCTAGCGCATGGAGAGTGAGCAGAGTGGGACATAGAGAGGGGTGGCCTGGTTCAGCTCTGACAGAGCCTGTAAGGATGAGGAATGCAGCTCTTTCTCCAAAAGCAATGAGACTCTTTGGAGAGTTAAAGCAAGGAAGAGATCTGATTCTGCGTGGGGCTTGGGGAAGATTTTTCTGACACTGTGGGGAGTGGTCTGCCAGCTAGATGGAGCTTTTCTCCACAGCACACCCAGATCAGGGTCATCACAAGTCGGGTTCTTACTGGACTCAACTGCTTTGCTGCAGGGCTACTCTGGACCTCCAGAGCAGTCCATCTGGAGGTGGAGCACTTATCTGTCAGTCTTCAGCATTTACTAAGAGCCGTCCCTTTGCAGTGCCCTGGGCTGGGCACTGAAAAACACAGAAAACAGTCGTAGCTCCCAAGAACAGCGAAGGATGTGATTATGCCCAGATATTGGCTCACAGATGGCATGTGGTGGGAGTGGGGGGGTGCACAGAGCCCTGGGGGCCCCATGCTTTTCCCATGCGCCTTCTGGGAAGGCTTGGTGCTGTGGTTCCATGACTCCTGCTGCTGTGTGGTGCTCCCAGGTCTCTCTGGATGGGCAGGCTCCAGAGCTGCTTGGCCGTGTCCATTCCTTGGACCTCTCCCTACCTCATGCCTCAGTGTCTGTGACAGGCTATGTTTCTGGAGGTGTGTTTTCTTCCTTAGTCCAGAGGTAGGAAAACAGAGAGGGTCCTGAGCATGTGCTCCTAAGCCCCATCCCCAGCCATTGTGGACACCACCCGATGACCCCTGGGCTCCTGTTCTTTAGGCCCTCCTGCGTGCCCTTCCAAACACAAAGAGATCTTAGGCAGGTCTTCAGGCACAGACAGAGGGCACTGTCACAGGGAGAGGGTGAGTGGGTGTGTCACAGGCCACCAGGGCCCTCTCACGGGGCAGGAAGTGGGATGGAGTGAGTAGAAGGTGCAGCCCCAGCATCAGCGCCATCCTGTCTGGGGGAACCTGGGCCTGCACCGTCTGCTGCCAGGCTCAGTCCAGCTGGGCAGACATGAAAAGGCACAGGACGACCTGTTCCTCCACCTGGCCCAGGACCCACTGCCAGGAAGACAGCTGGCTGCCTTGGCACCCCGCTGTGGGCAGGGATATGGCCCTGCACCTGGGCAGGCCTGCCAGGCCTCTGGCAGCAGGTGCACGCAGCATGACCTCAGCTCCCGCTCCCATGGGTGGCATGCAGAACCATTCACAGGACAATCCCTGGCCTCCCCCGAGTCCCCACGTGGCTGTGGCCATCCCTCTGGTTTGCAAGAATGCCCAGCCTCGTCCCGAGGAAATGCCCTTCCTGAAGCTCCTGTTCAGCCTCCTGCCGCTTCTCCGTTCCCTGCATGCCTTTCTGCCTTTACTTTGCGTTTTTTCTGATCTTTTGAACTTGGCTCTTTTTTAACTGTTTTCTTTTTGTCCCTTTAGCCAGGTAGTTTGGGCCAAAGAGTGGCTAGATGGTAGTGTTAGGCTCCAGGAGAACCATCCATGTGCCATAGCTGAGCCTCGGGCTCCCCTCCCCCACCCCCACCATGCATTCACTCACGGATTTGCTTCCGACCCCCCTCCCCTCAGCTTACACCAACAACCAGGCCGACATCGCCACCCAGGGCTGGTTCATTGGGCTCATGTGCGCCATCGCCCTCCTGGTGCTGATCCTGCTCATCGTCTGCTTCATCAAGAGGAGTCGAGGTGGCAAGTACCCAGGTGAGACCTGTGAGGGGAGCAGGTGAGGGAACCTTCCCACCAGTCACCAGGTCACCCGCCTGATCTGCCCAATCCGAGACTTGGAACCGTGGCCCTCTCCCCTGCTCTTTGCATTAGTGCCACAGGCAAGCACTTGAGTTAATTATGTCCACCGAGGTGGGCGGATGGTGAGGTCCAGGCCGCTCCAGAGAGGGACGGAAGGAACCCTGGCTCCTGCTGAGGTTGACCTTCCCTCGCCTTGACTCACCACCCATCTGCTTCGAAAATTGGCTTTTTTCCAGCCTGAATCTCATTAGGACCCTGTGTCCCAGGGAAGGAGGAAGGAAGAGAGGCATTTTAGATAACATGGGAAGAGAAGGGGTCTGGGCAGATGGGCACACCCATGAAAGAGGTGGCAGAGCTGGGCCCTCCGCGGGACAAAGGGGATCACAGATAACTGGAAAGGGGGAGCAGTGGTTGGCACTGATTGAACCCCACAGCACTTAAAGGGCTTTGAGTCCCAAAGAGGTGTTTCTCTTCTATGGCCAAGATCCTCCAGCCCAGACAAACCAAGGTCAAGAACAAGGACCTCTGGCATTCTTGTTTCTGAAAATATTGATTGTTTTTCAAGCAGGGGCAAGCAAGCCATCTGTCTATGACGGGGTGGGTGGGGTGACAGGAGACAGGGTAATGGATGACTCTGGAGCAGAACTCCTGCTGGGCTGCAGGATGAAGTCACTCCCTGCTCCAGAGCCCCATGACCAGACCACCCCACGCTCCCCAGATACCTCCTTCTCCCTGTCACTATACAGAGGTCCTCGCCAAAGCTCAACACAAAGGATCTGGACGGGAGAGGAGATTCTGTCTTATTTCCTTCCCCTGCCCTCCTACACTCAGACCCTAGGGCCCTGGGGTTCTGCTTCCATTGCAGTGAGGGAGCTCAGGAAATTGCAATTCCTTACTAGTGAGGGATGCTTTTTCACTTTGTTCTTGTGACTCTTTTCCTTCTATAAGAGAGAAAGCCAGAGTTAGGGCGAGGTCCAGCTTTCCAGGTAACATCAAGACTTGGGAGGACTCCCTGAGTCATTCCCCTCCCAGTGGAACTCACCAGATGTACTCTGAGCCTCTTCAAAAGTGCTCCATCCTCCTCTCAGAAATCTCTCCAAAGTAGGCCTCCTGACTTCCAGCTCCAGGGTAGGTCCCTGGCATGTTAAAAACCCAGAGACCCAGGAGCCCAGGGCCAGCACGCCAATTGTCCTCCTCTCAGCTTCATGTGGCTGCTAATTAGTTATGTGATCTGTTCTTCACCTCTCAAGACCTCAGTTCCCCTCCCTGAAAATAGGAGTGATTGTCCTGACTTGTATTTTTAAAAGAATACATAAATCATCCCTCATGGGCCTGGGGGTATAGCTCAGAGGTCGAGTGCTTGCCCAGCATGTGCAAGGTCCTGGGTCCAATCCCCAATAACTACCGAAAAAAATAAATAAATATATTAAAAAGGAACCCTCAGGTAAGTGCCTGCTGCATGCCAGCCTGTTTTAGGTGCCAGGGATACTAAAGGAGAGATGATTGTCCTTGACATTGCAGCTGCCTCCTAGGGAATGGCCACAGCACAGCAAGGCAGGCCTAGGCTGGGTGTATAGGAAAAGGGCACCTCAGTGAAGACCCAGATAGGAGAGCGCCTCCATCCCTAGTGTGACAGGTGTCTTCCCTGACCAGGGCACTCTGCCAGCAGCTTTGGAGAAATACACAGTCTCCACCCTGAGAAGAGAACTACATTCTGTTAGGGGCACAGGAACTGTGCACAAAGGATTCTAATACACAGCAGGAGAAGGGTGTGAACAAGGGAGGATGTGCCTTTGGTGGAGGAAAGGATCACATCTCTGGGGGTTTGGGGAGGAGCCCATACAGAGGCAGTGGGAGCTTGGTGGGAGGAGATTTAGTTGTTAACAGGGATGTAAAGAGAGCCCTTGGAGTGAGCAGGATGAGGCAGAATCAAGGGATTGACTTTGGGAAGAACTGATGGCATCTTATTAAAAGGTGTCGAGGGGTGGGAGGGGTGGGCAGGCCCAGGGTGGTGTCTTCTGGCCCCACATGCCGTAGGGCCCTGGAGAGCAGGGGCCTACTCTTAATCAGTGTCTGTCTTCTCTTATTGACCAAGTGCGAGAAAAGAAGGACGTTCCCCTTGGCCCTGAAGACCCCAAAGAAGAGGATGGCTCCTTTGACTACAGGTGCGGGATCTCCTCCCCCTGACTGGCAGCTGTCCTTCCTGCCCTGAGGCAGCCCACTCCCCTCAGAGCAGCTGGGCCACAAGGCACTGCATCCACATCCTCACCCACTGGGCTGTCACCTCTGACTCTCTGACCATGCCTTGGCAGAGGACATGTGGTCAGAGAGGTTGTGAATCCTGACCAAAGAGGACCAGGCTGCTCCCCCACCCTTAAACACTTCATTCATACAATTGCACAACTCAAACTACTGAGCTGCTTATATGTTTCTTTCTACCATTTACCTCTAAAAATGCAGCCTGGGCCCCCCCATGCTGTGAAATGAGTTCCACTCTCAGGCTTCTTTGCTTAAAACCACCCTTAACCCTGAAGATAATGACCAGGGGGATGTAGTGTCTAAGCCTCAGGCAGTGACGGGGCGGGGCAAGGAAGTCTAGGTTCTTTCCTCTTGAACCTGGTGACGTCTATGGGCTCTAGGGTAGATGGGCCTGGGAGAGGCCCAGTGCCCTGTGTCCCAGGTGGCAGGGCTGAGGCCCATCGTGGGAAGAGACCTGCCCAAGCCCCCACATTCATCTCCCAGGCAGAGCTGAAGAGGATAGGGGCCGGACTGCCAGCCAGTGCTGCTCTCCTATGGATCTGAACAGGACTTTGTATCTCAACTTAACAAAATCGTCAACTGTCCATTTGAATGGCAGGTATATTCTGAATTCAAGAATGAGGCAGAGAATCCCCAGTACCACCAAAAAAAAAAAAAAAAAAAAAAAAAAACCTTCAGGAATGGTGCTGTGTGGGTCATGGAATCTTATTCTCAGACCAGGTGAGTGGAAAGGTCTGTTCAGGGCCTTCCTTCCCTGCCCCCACCTGGTTACTAGCCAGTCCGGGTCACCGCTGCTCTCTGGCCTCTCTTTATCCTTTCTGGGCCTCCACCTCTCTGCCCATCAGCAGCCTGGCAAGCCTCAACAGACCAATGGGAGCAGAGTCACTGCCCACATGGGTGCCGGTCTGGCAGCTTAGGAGCCACAACCAGCCAAACAGTTCCAGCGTCCTTCCCGAAGGACAGGCACAGAGATGCAGCCCCTTCTTCCCAGGCTCCCCTGGCAGGGTCCAGCTTCCCCATGAGCTGGCCTTCATTTCCAAGGCCAAGGTGTCTTTTCTCCCCCAGACCCTCAGCATAGCCAGAGGTGGACACACAGGGTGGGCATCCTACACTAAGAGAAGCTGCTTCCTCATGTGCCTCTCTCCTCCCCTGGAAAACAAAGCCATTGGGCTAAAGCACCTGCTGCGTGCGCGCTGTCCCCAAGGCCCACTGTGTTCAGGAGGTGCATGCCCAGCCAGCATGGGCAAACGCGCTCACCTCGGGCGCAGGCCCTGCAGCATCCATCCTAGAGCCCCAGGTGCATGATTCCAAGCATCCCAGACTGGGAAAAGCCCCAGATAAGTGAGAGGAAGAACTAAGCTGCTCTGGGTGCAGGCCAGAGAGCCAGGAGGTATGTTTTCCCTCCTCATCTTCCTCCATCCTGTGGCTGAGTTCTGACAGGGCTCTCTGCCTCTCTCCCTGCAAATCTGTCCTCTTGGATATTGAGGGTCTCTGGAGGCCAGGCCAATAGGTGACTAGACCAGGGCCACTCTTTTATTCAAGCTTCCTTTAGGTGAGATCTGCTCTTCCAGACTTAGGTCCCCTTTACCCTCAAGAACCTCCACACTGAACCCTCCCCTTTGGGGCCACCTCTGTCCAGTGGATATGCCTGAAACGGGGACAGGAATTCCCCCCAAATTGCATAATAATTCTCCTGCTCCTGCGGTGGGGACAGAGGGCCTAGGGAAGAGTGCAGGGTGAAAGATTGGCAAGGGGGCTGAGGAGCCTGGCAGTGAATTCTGCCGGTTTGCAAAGAGAGATCCACTTCCTGCACAAACTCAGCGCAACTCTAGAGACCCACTGGCTTCCCTCCACCGCTGTCCCTCCCGCAGCACTGCCTGCAGAGCACCTGCGAAGCTGTGTTAATGGGCGGCCTTCATTCTGTGCCCTGGAGGGACTGGGATAATGGCTTTTCTTGTATCTTGCTCAGCTCTGGCTCCAGCTTAAGGCCTTCCCGGACGGCTGTCTTTGCCCAGTGCAGTTATTAGAATGCACTGCCTGCTGTAATGGCACCTCAGCTGGTTGTTTTCCCCACATCCAGGAAGGACTTAGAGTGGGCTAGGAGCAGAGAAGGGTGCGGCATGTCTGCCTAGACTGCCTGGCACCACTGTGGTCCCACCTGCTGGGCCCTCCAGTCCCTACCGCTGGTCCACATCTGCTGTGTGCCTGGGAGCCCAGCTCACCTCTGAAGTGCAGCCAACAGCACCTGGTCCCCCCTCTGAGCCTAAAGGGCACACAGAGTTTCCTAGCCAGGGGCAGAAATGGCTCAGGGTGCAGTTATTCAGATCAGGCATCTGGGCCCCATGGGCCAGTGCCACTTTACCAACCAGCCTCCAGCTCTCCGAGGAGAGAGCTGAATGACAGGGCTGGGGGCTGGGGCTGGCAGAACCCTCCAAGCCTTCCTAGTGCTCAAATTGCTGGTCTCGAGTGCTTCTCTGTATGCCCCTGTCTCCCATGACCCCGCCTCTCTTACGTGCGAGGCCCAAAGCAGGAGCACCTGTTTGTGGATAAGCCAGATAACCAAGAGAGCAGCACAGAGACAGGGAGGTGGCAAGGTGGGGGAAGGTCTGATCCCAAAGCAAGACCCTCGCTTTGGTCAAGGGCAGAGCCTTGCCCTGCAGAGTCATAGGAGGTCCACCTTCCATGGACAGGTCACAGGGGCACACTCAGGACTGGAACTCCTTGTCCTGACTCTTGCCACCCCAAGTGATCTCACAAGCTATGGCTCTGCCTCTCATGGGGTGGCCGTCCTCTACCTCCTTACGCTGTGATAGTGGCCTGTCACGTGGGAAGGATCCCACACCAGGAATCCAGAAGCTTGCTCCCCAATCCCTGCCCTGTACCCATGCCATCTCCCCTTAAGGAAGACGCTTGTCCTCACTGGGCCTCTTAGCTTTCCTTTCGCAGCACCCGTGGGACAAGGAGGATGGGGCCTGGCTGATCCCCAAGGCCTGTGCTTGGCAGGAAGTCCGCTACCCTGTCCCACCATACCTGGTTTGGGTTGTGCTGGACCCACTAGGCCCTGATTCTCTGTCTCTCTCTGGCCAGTGATGAGGACAACAAGCCCCTGCAGGGCAGCCAGACGTCTCTGGACGGAACCATCAAGCAGCAGGAAAGTGACGACAGCCTGGTGGACTATGGGGAAGGCGGCGAAGGGCAGTTCAATGAAGATGGCTCCTTCATTGGCCAGTACACGGTCAAAAAGGACAAGGAGGAAACAGAGGGCAACGAGAGCTCAGAGGCCACATCACCCGTCAATGCCATCTATTCTCTGGCCTAACGGAGCCCACCCGGGCACAGCCACTACTTTATAAGTGGGAGGAGGGGAGAGGGGGAGACGAAGCCACTGCAGACCGACCACAAAGCCTCCACCACCTTCAGGGACAAGGGTACAAAATGGGGGTCTGCCAAGCTGTGAGGATCAGTGGCCACCCAGCTACCCACAAGCCCCCTCCCAATGACCCCCCACAATCCCTGGGTGCCACCAGTGTGGGAGAGCTAGAGCCGTGACTAAGCTCACCTGAGGGAACCCTGGTCCCTTGCCCCATCTCGCAGCCACCCTGAGCATCCATCCCACTGCCCGCCTTGGCCTCGGCCCACACCCTTGCCCGGTCCTGTCGGTTACCGTACTTTCATTGACATTATTTTTGCTTTGTGCATCTTCCAAACCTCCAGACCCAATGTCTCCATTTTCTTTTGAAGATGTGTTCCTGGAAAAAGAAAGAATAGGTGGATTCTCCCCCCAGGAAACCACAAAGAGACGGAAAGGACGGATCCCTTACAGAACGTAGAGAAGAGCCGTAGTATTCAAACCGCCGCTGGGCCAGCACGTTTCCGGAGGATGCCTTTCTTTGCCATATTGTCCCCCACCCTTGCTCCCAACCCATCTGCCTCTGTCTTGTCAGTTGTTGAGCTGGGCTTGGCTCCTTCCTGGAAAATGACAGTATTTTTTGGCAGGGAGAGGGTGGGCAGTCGCCTCGCCCCTCTCTGGTTCAGTTAGGAGGTGAGTTTACCTCTGACTCCTCGTTCTTACCCTGCCCCTGCCTCCAGAGTGTCCAAGAATGAGCTGCACTGACTTTGAAGGAGAAGCTGGAGGCACAGGAGTGGGCACTGATGGTACGAACTTCAATTGCAATGACTGGACCTCAGCAGAAGAAAGTCAGGGGTCTGGTCTCTTGGGAACTGTGAGCACCTCTGGAGAGAAGCAAAGGGCTGGGTTTGGACTCCTTCCTTCCCATCAGTGAATACAGGGATGTAGGAGAGAGGACCACACCCACCATGTCCAGAGCAGAGGGCACCCGCCCACCTGGCCAGGGTCTACGCTGCTACCCTCAAGGAGAAGGAACCCTGCAATGCAGAAGCCTTGCTGGTGTGTTCGGGGGTGTAAAGCACCACCCTCTTCCTCCTCTAGCAGGTGTCGGTCGTCTCCTTGGTCAATTCTGTATGCTGTTGAGACTCGTATTTGACGTGATGTGTGGGTGGAGACCTGCTACCCCGAGACTGAGCCTGTCTGTCCTTTCATTAGGGTATATATACATATCAGGGGACCCTGTGGTGGCGCCGTGCTAATAGTGCTGTGATGCCCCCACCCAGAGAGGACTCAGTGCTCTTCGTATGCCTTATGCAGTTCTGATCTGTCCCTGGAGTTCCCAGGTTCCCAGCCCCTCCCTGCAAGCCTTGAAGCCTCCAGTGACGTCTGACTCGGAATCAGGGCAGCCTATGCAAGTGTCCCTGCAGGACCACAAGCAGCCAGTCCATACACACCCTTACCCCGTTGCCCACATGGAGACTCGCAGACCTGCAATTCTCAGACCGAAGGTGCTGCCTTCACCCTCCCCACCTAATTCATTTTTGAAACCAAAGGTACCTAGCCTCAGTGATGCAGAGAGAGGGAGATCTTGAGCCTGCGTGTGCCCCTGTCACTGTTTCTGTAGCTCAAGTCGGTTTCAGGAGGGTGAGGCTGAGCCCCAGGAATAGATCACCTGCTACTGACGCAGCCTCCAGTTTGAGCCTCCAGCTGCCATCCGGGGGCCTGGAAAGGACCAGGGCCGTGTCCTTCGGAGACTTTATTAAAGCATCATTTGCCACATGTTTAAGCCACAGAGGTATTAGCAATGCTTACATCACTTAATAATCATTCAGCTGAAGGTCAAGCTCATAGGCATACACGCACTCTGTCTGCAGATAAGAAACCATAGCCCAGAGCTGAGCCAATAATGTTGTTTGAACTAGAGAGTAATGGCCCTTTGGCCCAAGCTGCCTCCAGGTCTGCTGCCCAGAGGCCTGAGAGGCAGCTCTCTCATGGTGAAAGGGGACAGGGTAAAGAGAAGGGGACTGGGGATGAGCTCAGGGTCCTGTCCCCTGGCTCTCTTCCAACTCCTGCTTGGATGCAACTGGGCAGTCCTGCAGTCTAGACCCACTGTCCCTGAAGGGAAGTGTCAGGGACATGTACCTGTGAGCTGAATCAAATGACCAGCCTTTCCAGAATATGCTTTGGACCTGAGCAGAACAGTCAGTTTCTCAGGCCCTCACTTCACCCTGCTTTGTCCATGCTAGTGAGCCCATTCCCAGAGAGAAGGCCCTAGGGAGCAAGAGGCTGTTCGATATCACAGAGCCACCTCCTCACCTCTGGAAAGTCTGTTGCACAAACCAATGGCTTTGAGGGGCTTTCTCTATCTGAAGGGTCTTGGGGAGAGGTCAGCTCAGGTCATCTTTGCACCTTCTTCCAGTGTCCCACCGTGCTCTGTACCATCATCCTCTGTACTATCGTCCTTTGCTGTTAGTGCCTCTCTCGGGCTGTTGTTTTGTGAGTGCTGACAGCTGCCCCCCTACACCACCACCACCACAAGACCATAGCAGGAGCATTTGGGACTGAAGAACCGCTTTCCCCAAGCAAAGATGATGGGTGCTCAGAGAGCTCAAGACTGGAGGTGTGTGGGTGGCAGGGCTAAGGAGGCATTCCTTAGAGGAAGAGGAGAGGCCATTTTCTGTAGCACCCATGCCGGTCCACCCAGCTCAACAGGAAAGCAGTATTGCCCAGCACTCCCTGCTAGCTGGGCCTCTCGAGCAACTGCCCAAAACATCCTCACAACAACACCAGGAGCGCGCCCTACCATTGGTGCTTCAGCCTCTCCGGGTGGGGCAGGTGGTCATCTTGCAGTGGCTCTAAAAGTTCCATCGACTAGAACTGCCATCCGCCAATGTGCTCAGCCACAGTGCTGTAGCTGCCTGAGCGCTCGTCTGCCCTCGTGTCCATTCATCAAATACTCTTTGAAGATCCAGTCGGGCCAATGCTTGAGCCTTGAGTACCAGGTGAAGCAGGTCAGGAGTGGTCTCAGCCCTCGCAGGACTGACATGACTGGAACCGTCTTGAGACAGGAGCCACTGAGTCGGGAGCAATCTGCCTTTCATTGCTCAAGCCTCTGATGGCTCCAGAGTAGAAGGGAGAAGTTTCCAGGTCTTAGTCCAGCTGGTTAGAAAGACCATGCAGGACAGGGCAGTCAAGACCCGCTGGGTGGGGCAGAGGATCAGTCCTGCTTCTGGACCCTCTTTGCTCTGCCCCTTGGGGCAAGTTGCTTAACCTGTCTACTCCTGTGCCTGTGCCCTCATTCGGTCCCTCCTTTTAATACCTCTCTGAACAGACAACAGGGTCCACCTGAAGAAACACGGAGGTCATGGTAGCTGCCTCCTGCCCTGCCTTGTTATGGTGAATAGGGCACATATTTCCCAGTCTTGCTTTTGAAGAGATGGCTGAGTTGACGCTAAGAGGAAAGCCAGACTCACCCCTCCCTGTCCCTGCTCTGTCACCCTGCGAGGTCGGAGACATCTGGTCTACCCGCTTGCTGGCAAGTCCTGAGGTCTGGAAGTGATAAGAGTGAGCCAGTGCCAGCATCGCTCATCCTACAAGGTGTGCCTGCACCGTGGGCCCAGATGGTGTGCTCCTGGTTTCCCTGACCACAGTTAGTGTTGGGAAGGGAGTGCAAGCAGATCTGCAAGGGTTTGTGGGGTTTCTAGCTAAGAGACAGCTCCCTGCTACTGAGCACCCATATGTGCTCACATCCATACAGCAGAACTGTCACAGAGCATTGCCTCCAGCAGGACGCAATCCAGGTCATTGTCCTGGAGAGAGTCAGTCCCTGCCCCGCTCCTGTGAGATGAGCTTCAAAGGGCTGCGTGTAGGCATGGTGCGCAGCCTGGGGGAGGGGAGAGGCCCTATTTGGGTGACTGCTATGGGCAGGACCTAGAGACAGAGTGATCCAAAAGAGAGGAAAACATTCCCCAGGAGCTGCAGCCTTCAGGGCACGTCCTGGAGGCCAGCCAAGTCTTAGGGCATTGCCCTCAGCCTTTGATGGAAGGAGCAGGAATTCAATGCATTTTTGTCTCAGCTTTTGTGAGGTTGATACTCTGAAAGGGAGAAATTTCTCAGGCTTCCATGGGCTGAGGCGGGGGCCAGGACTGGGGCCAGGGACACTTCTCAGTGGGAGGGCAGCAGCTTCCTGCCTGGTAGGTCAGCCAAGAGCTTGCTTCCCACTCGTAACTTTGGGTGGGGTCCCAAGGCACCAGTCCAACCAGCCTCTGCCAAACCTAAGCCCATGGCTGTGGTCGGGTCCACCCAGTCAGGCCCACAGAGTGACTTCTTTCTAGTGAAATGAAGGATTCTGCCTGAACTATGTGTGACGGAGTAGCATGTGGGAAGTCACTGATTAAAAGCAGAAGACTCAGACCAATAAAGCAAAGAGCTTGAAGTGTAAATGGGAGACATAGGCAAGTTGGCCAAAGCCAGGCCTGGCCAGGCCCCTCCCTTAATAGACAAGGTCACCCTGCATGAGCTCCATTGGACCTGGTGGCACAGTCCAAGCCCAAGGAAGTACACTGTCTTTTGGTCCTTTTCTAGGAAGGGTCCTTCCTGGGACACCTTCAGGGGAGGGGCCAAGGGGAAGGAGGATGACCACCCAGAGAAAGCTGTTAGACCCACACAACATCACCTAAGCCGCCCCGGGAGGCAGGGCTCCTCTTAGGAGTACCTTAGTATTAAATGGATGCTCATGGCGATAAGGGTGGAAATGAAACAGATACCAAGGCGTCTGGCTCAGGATAGTCAGATTTCAGCCTGTGGAGGAATCTCAGAGCTGATCTAATTGAAATGACTCATTGGGCAGACAAAGAAATGAGGACGCAGCCAGGCAGGCACAGGGCTTGCTCAACACCACAGAGCTGGGACATTTAGGTAGGATTAGGACTTGAACTTGGGCCTTCTGGCTCCTTGTCCAGTGTTCTCACCACAACTGCCTCCTTGAAAGCAGAGGTATTACTGCAGATCTGCCCGGCTGGTTCACCCTGCCATACCTCTACCACCTGCACATCCCCCCAAGACCTCCCCAAATGAAAGACAAAAAGGATTTTTCTGAGTTCACCATCAGCCTGTCTGTGCAGTTAACCCAGCCCTGCAGTGACAGGCGGCCCTGGCTACTAGACTGGAATGACCGGCTGATCCATGTCTGTTACTGTGAAACTAGACTGTACCCCCCCAGCATGGCAACTCTCGCTCCGTCACGTATTGGACCCTCAGCACACTGTATTCCCCAGAAGTGAGGGTGCAGAGGGGTCTCTGTCCTTTTCTTGACTGCAGGATGCTGAGGGGGCAGCAGCTCTGGCAAGCCTGCCACCTGGGATTTGCTGGGCTGGAGTTCAGCCGCTGTAAAGACTTCAGAGAAGCAATAAACACAAAAGTCTGGGAAGAGATATCCAGAATTTTGTGTATTACTCGGTTTGTTTTTTGAAAAATGATGCAGATCAGATGACCCTGGCCTGCTCTTTTTTTTTCTGATTCTCAAATGCAATGTCCTCAGTCAGTGTTGTCCCTCTGCCCGGCTCCCCAGCTCTTTGCCAACTTCTTCTCACTCCTCTTGAGCTGAGCATTAGTCGCCTGTGACATGGCCACCTTCTGTCCTGGTCCCACCCCCAGCCCATGCCGGACCCCAGAAGACCTGGGCCCTGCGCCCCACACACCATGCCCGTGTGTTCTTTTGGTGGGGAAATTCTTCCCGCGTTTCCATCCCTTCCCATGTCCCCACATGCCCGCCCATCGATCTGATCTTGGTTAAACATGTAACTCTCCACAGTAGGCCTTGTTTTAACCCCTCTCACATCGTGTTCTTTCCTTTTCGTGAGTTGATTTTTGCATTAACCAACGTTGTCGGCGACAGATGCGTATCTGAGGGCGTCACCGCGACCTTCAGAAGGGAAGATTTTTCTGGGCTGTGGAGATCTTCTAATACATGGACTTATAAACTGACTGCATGAACAATGAAAAGGCCAAATTATTCGGAATTTTTTTTGAATCACTGTAAAAAAAAAAAGACTGATTTCTTTTGTATAGAGAACACTAAACGTATAATAAAAGTTGTTCAAAATGGATTCTGGGCATGCGATGGACTCATTTTCCTTGGTGAATGGGTAGGTGCCACATCTGCAGGCCCAGTTGTGCCCGGGGAAGCAGAGTAGGTTGCAGAAAGGCCAAAGAAAGGGCCTGGAGACAGCCCGCAAGCATATGACTCACTGGGGAAAGCTTACCAGAGACCAGAGCCTGCCCCACGAGGAGTTCTGTGGCAGTGGATTGAACAGAGAGCTCCTCCATACCCCAAGGTGCTCTGCCAAGCATCCTGTCCAGTGGTGGCCAGCTGGACGAGTGACATGTATCCTTGCCACAGTGCCCTCGGTTTTACACCAGTCGCCACCAAAAGGGGGGTTTCATATATTAAGTTGTAGGATAGTGATACTCAGCATTAGCTTGCTTAGTTTGCTTTTATGAACAGCCGCCCAGGAAGCAACTCTCCCGGTGTGCACGCAAGTAAACAGCTTTCTCCGGGTAACTCTTGCTTGCCCTGGATCCCAATGTGCAGAAGAGGAAGCCCGGGTCCTTCAGGGGAATATGTATCTGGACTTTCCAGCCACACTTGTTCTCATTGTTCCCCTAACTTGACTAGGCTTTTGGGAATAGAAAAGGGGCATTCAGGGGCATGTTGTTTTACTATCCTTTCTTTCTTTTTAAAGGACTACACAGTGGGAAAGGGTGTCAAGAGGTTCACGACACAAGGAATCAAATGGTTTTTAAGGGCCTCAGAGAGCTCCCCTGGTATTGGTGGTCTCCCAGACCATCTCAAAGTCACTGTCATTTGGGGGAAACTCTTGCACAATTTGTGGTTTGAGGGTAGGACGCCTGGTTTAGGAATGTGTGCAGCGGTGGAGAGACCCCTGATCCAACATGGCTCTGTGTGCACACAGCATTTAAGAGGTGCCATGCCAAGGAAGTTGGGAGAAGCAAAGACAGTTGCAGGGGTACCCTGTCTCCTACCCTTCTTCTTTCTGGACCCCATTCATCTTGCCTGGAAGGGTACAGACATTCAATATTGTTGAAACAATGCATAAAACTGCATACTAAAAAACAAAGCCCCTCAAAGGAATCTCTGTCATTAATCAAATAGGGAAAGGAGAGAGAGGGGCCACATTGACTGAGGAGGGACGTGGCTTTGCCAGCCTCCTGTCTTGATGATTTGGCCGAGTTCTAGTGAGTCACATGGGGTGGGGTATAGGGGATGGCCAAAGAGCATCACCTGGGAAGGATACATTGCGAAGGGCCATCGTGTCTGGGATCCTCAGGCAGATGTTGGGGTAGGAGAGAGGGCAGGGCTGGGGGGTAGCTCTGCTCTGTGGGAAGATAACTGACTGCTCACAGGCAGTAATAGCAAATAAGGGCAAAGGGCTCCTTTGAAAATGCAGACCCCACTTTCTTAGACAAAGAGCCCCTTGGCTCTCCAACCTGCCTATCCACTCGTCCTTCAGAGGTCCTCAGGGTACGTTGTTGACTTGAGGAGTGATCACTTTATTAGCTTAAAATGAGACCTTTATTTCCAGATCTGGCTCCTCCTGAACCGTTGGGATATGTCACACAACACCTCTGAACCGCCCTGCTCACTCCCTGGAATATGAGAAAGGACCTTTCTCATCACTCTCAAGTTCACAGGCTGTCTCTGAAATTCGTCCTTCAAGTTCATTTGCACAGTCACACCCTTAGTCCAAGCCCTCATGGCTTGAATTGACAGTGTCCTTGTCTCCTGTGTTGCTCGCACTCTGTGAACCTGCAGCCAGAGGAATCTTTTCAAATACAAATATTACCCTACCGCTCCCTTACTTGAAGCCTTGTTTACTACAATAGAATAAAATCTATACTCCTTGGTTTGGCCTGTTAGACTTTTGGTGCTCTGACTCTCACTTCTCCAGCTTAGTTTTTCACCCCCCTCCCACATGTACCCTAAATTCTAGCCATTCTAACTTATTTCCAGCTACCTATGATAGGCAAAAATTCCCCTGCTTCCCAGGTTTGAACTATTCAGTTAAAAAAACGTGTCATAATAATCTACTCTATGCCAATGAATGATGTCAGTAGATCAGAACTGGAGTCCTCTGGAAGCTCAGACTGTTCTGGGAGGTAGTCAAGTCAGCAAAAGTGATATTAGACTGTCCTGGGCAAAGGGCTCCATAAATGTGGATTCAGTGAACACATTCGAGACAAAAGGTGGGTCTTCTTGGAAGACCCTCCTCTTGACCTTCCACACCCCCCCACTTATGGATAGTTCAGGATCACTAGAGTTGATGCTCATAACCAGGATTTGCAATAATTTGGAGCCACAGACTCCAGACTCCAGACTCTTCCTATTCTCACCCCTCCTAATTCCTTTCTGCTTATAGACCATCCCTCCCACACACCTCAAGGCAGACAGTGGCCTCTGTGCTGGGTCATGCATCTATTAACTTTTTGAAGTAGGTCCTCACTATGTTGTCTGAGCTGGCCTTGAACTTCTGGGCTCAACCTCAGCCTCCTGTCTTAGCCTCCTGAGCGGCTAGGACTACAAGGCGCCAACACCAGGCTTGGCTTGACACATCTTTCACAGTCAGCTCAGGTGATGCTGTCTCAGGAAGTCTTCCCTGATGCCCTCATGTTCACCCCTATTTTCAGTCTGGTTAGACAGTCTGCAGAACACCTGTTTCACACATAATAGGATTTGGTGTATGATATTTATTGTCTCTTTCTCTCATTTAAGTGGGAAGATCGTGAGTCTAAGAGACCTTTCCTTTTCCTTCTCTGCTTCTGGAGGCCAATGCCTGGCACGTTGCAGGTGCCATCTGAAGGACAAAATAAATGGAGATAATTGAAAGGAGGAGCTGGGAAATTCACATGCCTCTTGCTGCTGTTCTTTGTTTTCTGCGGTGCTAGGGATGAACCCAGCCCCTCTTGCAAACCAGGCAAGCGCCCTGTCACTGAGCCCCCTCCCAGCCCTTTCTTCCTTTTTATTTTGAGATAGGGCCTCACTAAATTACCCAGTCTGGTCTCAAATTTGTGATCCTCCTGCCTCAGCCTCCCAAGTAGCTGGGATTACCATCGTGCACCACTGTGCCAGGTTGAACTCGTGTTTTTGAATGATACTCTTTGAATATTTGGACACATGACATTTCAGGAGAGAGGGGTCCACTTTTTAGAGCAGGCGTTTCCACTCCAAGGGACAGAAGTGAGAAGATGAAGAGAGCATCTTGTTTGAAGAAAGCCAACCTCAATTCAACCCAGACCAAACAAAGCAACTGCCTCCCTTCAGAGCCCCAGGGACCCCCCCCAGAATATCTGTCATCTCTCATCCCTGTCTCCTGAAGCCTGCACCTCCCAGCCCATTAGAAATGCTAATCTCCAGCTTGGAGTTGGATTAACAAACCCAGCGGGGAGGGGACAAGTCATCTTCCAATCTTTATTAAGAGGGAAGGCTGTACCCGCTTTTGCCCAGCTGCCCCCAAGGGCTGGAGTCTGGGAATTCATTACAGCTCTCCTCATCAAGGCGGCCTTCCTGCACCACGATGTATTAGGTGGAGACAGACAGGGGAGGGCCACCCCGGGGAGGACCACCCCCACCCCCCGCCCCACTTAATGCATCAGAACCCATTTGTTTGATGTCAGTTCCTGCTGGAGCAAGGACCAGGCAGTGGGCCTCACAGCAATTTGGAGCCACAGCTGCGGCCCAACCCCAACCCCCTCTCCCACCCCCACCCCAGAAATTGCTGTTGATTAGCCCAGGCCCCACCACAGGAAAGCACGGCATTGTGCAGAGCAGGGACCACTGAGTTGTATCGTGTCCACACCCAGACCCTCGGTGCTGGCGCGGGTCCCTAGGAACCACCTTCCCACCCTGAGCCCACCCAGATGTTCTCATTGCTCAGCTTCACCTGGGAGAACACAGCGGAGTCAGGGGGCGGCTGGAGGGTGGTGATTTCACAGTGATACCAACCAGCAAAGCTACACATTCTGTATTTAAAATACCAATTGTCCTCCAAAAAGGACTATGAAATGAAGAAGGCACTTTGCAAATAGCAACCGGGGAGAATCTCACATAATGGGAAGATTCTAGAACTCCAGGGCCATCCAGGAGAGCATTTGGGGAACAAAGATTAGAGCACAGTTCTCAAAGTGTGGCCCTTAGTCCAGCAAAAGTCACCTGGGAACTGGCAGAAATGCAAATTCTTGGGCCCCTCCCAGATCTTCTGTATCAGAAACTCTGAAATCTGTTTTAACAAAGCATCCGGGTAATTTTGACACAGGCTAATGCTTGAGAACCACTAGGTTAGAGGGACAGTGAAAAAATCACGTACCCTGTGCCTTCCAAATTGGCAATCAAGCCCACTTGATTCGTGAATTTGCTTTGTTGGAGCCGATGCTTTATGCAAACTACAAGGTTGGTGGATTTCAGATCCAAATTGATGCAGGGGGAAGCAGAGATGGTATGAGAATTTGGGGTCAGTGCAGGAGCCTCCAGAAATCAGCCAACATTGTGGGAAGGGCTTTGACTTTCTCAGACCACGGAATTGGCAGGAACTGAGCCATTTATAACACTGATGTCAAAGAAGCAAGAGGACAGCAGATGGTATGTGGGTCACAATACATTTACATTGAGTTGTTTATGAGGACGGCACAGTGATGCTCACTTTATGTCGACTGTCTCGAACCTGCACACAGCCCTTGGAGGCAGGTAGCTTTACATCCTGATGTGCTTGAGGAACTGTGACTCCAAATGGCAGAGTAATTGGCCCCAGGTAAATGACAAAGCCAGACCTAGCTGCCAGGTCTCTGGCTGACTCAAAAACCCACTTTCGCTACTACACTGGGGTATGAATGGGCGTCTCTATGAAGAATGAGCCCTGGCGTCTGTGCCTCAAAGGCACCCAGCCAGGGCGGCCCCTGCCAAATCTTCAACACACTCTGGCAGCCAGTCGCCCCTTTCTCCTCCGCTCTGCTGTGGTAGGTGAACCCCAGAGAGGCTGTGGGTGCTGTGCAGCTCATGGTCATGTGACAAGGTCAGCAGAGGGACAAGTCTGCC